AAATTATTATTTGAAATATTTATTTATAATAATAATTATTCAATAGTGGTAAATTGTTATAAATATTAAGTAATGTTATGTAGGACAATGTGATTGAAGTGGACAAGGGCTATCAGCAACCCCATAGTGCTAGTTAATAGCCAATCTACACCCAAATCAGCCCCCTCCCTATGCCGATTAAGTTTTCGATCCATTTATTACGAAGTCAGAGCGACAAATGACCTTTTCCAGCGATTCTTGCGACTCTTATATAGTCAACGACTTGCTAACTTCGAATGGTCAGGTAAAAAGTCACGGTCTCTAACCATGTTACAAATATTTAATTAATTTTTTCATTTCTGTTACAAACATATGTTCTAGCAATTTGTTACAACAATGATTTATATATATTTAATAACATAAACATTTTTCTGAAATCAAAACGACATTTAAATTTTCTCCTACATTATTAAATTTCATAATAGATATATATTAAAATATTTTTAATCGTATATATAAAAATTTATAACACAGAGGGGTAGAATTTATTGATTGCAGAATTTTATGTTTAATTTAACAAAATATATTTTATTTTACGATATTTTTATTGCTTATTTAAAATGTTATTAATTATTTTTATCGAGATGTAATAAAATATAAAAACATAAGCTTCTAACAGATATGATAATATCCTACTTTATTGATTGCGGGTATTAAGTCGATCTACAAAGAAGATGCAGATTCTGTATTTTCTGGTACTTATTCTTATTATTCTTTAAATTCATCACGTTAAACGATGAAGGCTACAATAAAACTGTCGATGCATCTCAAATTCGATTTTATAATTTGTGTGAGTAGAAATCTCATAAAACGATAAATCTATTCTATATCTCATCTGTACAATGACAAATCGGCGCGTTTTATTATCTAGCGAGATAACGACATAGTAGGTGGCGCCAAAGAAGCATTGAAATTTTGATTCCCCTCTGATGTCGTTCGCAAAGCTTGGATGAAAATTTTATCTCGTTCCGCCTCCTGACGGCGTTTTATTTATTTAATGACCCGGCCATAGGATGTAATTAAATAGCTCGCTTTTACTGCACAAAACGACCGGGCTTTCGGGCAAATATTAATCAACCGTAGGAGGGGATATTCCGTTTCGTTAACGACTAATGCACAATTGAAAAGCGACCTCCGCCGAATATAATATTACAAAATACACCGTTGCCACGTTTTATTTATAATCGAGAGCTACATGCGCCGGGCAGGGTTTGCACGGACCAGAAAGTTTGATTTTTGGCAACGACAAGCCGCGCCATCACGTACAACACTTATTTCCTTCCCTTTTCAGTACCTTCTGGCACTTTTCCCTGCCAACGTCCAACTTCGTTCGACCACATATGTGCAGCTTTCCTATTGCACGAATACATAGACACATTGCATCTGTCTCGTAACACCCGAGGGATGTATGGTCGGATCCCGGAACACTGGGATCTATAGATGGCACTTCGTTGCGATAAAAAAATTTCCATCGCTCGTTTAGCTTGCAAGGTAGTCTTGAAAACTTTGTTTATTACATTATTATAGTCTTTTTCTATAAACTTGTGTCTACAATCTAAGAAGCACTTAATAATTAACAAACATACATAGATTAACATTCAAACCAGGTACTTTATATCTAACTAAGGATTTTATAACCTATCTTCATTAATACAGTCCATATGTTAAACTGAGTTGCTAGTTAGAGCTATTGGAACTAAACTGAACATAATTTTCAGTATGAAACATTACTTACAACTGGAAAGATCTAAAAGGTGATAATTTTTATACATAACCTAACCACGTAACCAAAAACATTAATCATTTCCCACATTTTTCCCAGATACTTCGTATTAAGCTACTACGAGTGCAAATAGTAGCGTAATACATACATCTTGAAAATCTTCTATCTTCCGCGCAGCAATTTCCGCCTTATTTATTACCAGTAATTTTTAATATCGCGTTATTGCTGTGCACCGTCTATGGGCTGCAAGGAAGCCTCGTTACAAAATCTCTCACGTGGAAATCGGCTTATCCTACATCACTTCCACCATCTCTCTCTTTTTCACTCATGCTCTCTCTTTCCCCCAGATATCACTTATTCCTTGGAATCTTCACTTTTTCTGGCACTCTTCCCTGGTCGAACCGAAACCAACTATTCACTGGATGAGTCGTAGCCTCCATAGATGTTGGACAAAGTGACGAAACTGGATACGGATAGACATTGTCGAATATTCGAATTGAATGGCGGTCACCATCGATCGGTATCGGTTTCACTTTGAATGGAGGGAACTACTGGTAGATTTTCGAGCCGCGAATCGGCTAGCCAGAAGGGTGAAATGAATGAAAGCGGTCACGAAACTCTTTAGTCTCGATATCGAGGCCAGTATAGCGGTGAGGGCATCGATTTTCGAGGCATGCATACCAATCGAGACAGAAAGAAGAGAGAGGTACAGTCGCGGCTGCGTGAGAAGCTATAATTAAGCAACAGGTTGTAGCTTCTTCACGGAAATTTATGAGCACCGTCCGATGGGGAATAGTCTATGGTTTTATTGAATTTTAACTCTGTCCACCTTCGCCGCCAGAGCTGGTGAGGTTCTAGACTTTTTGTGAACCGGCATTCGCATCGATCGACGGAGGGGGAGCAGCAATTGATTGTAAAAAGGCCGCCGCGTGATCAATAACGCGGAAAGAGGCGCCGCTTGCCAACCGTCCGAAGGTGAACCTGGAACGGTTCCGGTGCCCCTATTTTGGGGAAGATTAAAGGGTAACTGAGATGGCAAATGTTAATGGAACACCCAGAATAGGAAGTTTCCGAGGGTTCTCCGGCTGCACTCTCCGTTTCCGGCTAAGAATTTCCAATGTGCAACCGGCCGACATGGAAATTAACGAGCTTTTATCGCTGCACGCCGTTGCCAGGAATAATGGTATGCTTTTGTTGGTACATGCCGGATATTTCAGAAGAAAATATTGTTAATTATTTTCCTTGAGTTTCATTTTCTTTTTTTAAATTTGTTTGTTAGATTGCATGCCAAAAATTAACAAGATTTCGTAATTGACCTGACACTGATCCACAGGACGTGGATTTATACATGTAAAAGAGGATGCACTAAAACAATTCAAAGGTACTTACATGTATATCGAATATTCTTAGTCCAAATGTTTATTAATATATCATTAATACCACGGCGAAATAAATATTTATTTTACTTGATCTTAGAAGTAATAAGAGACAAATTGCGCAAGGTAGATCTATATAACGGGAAAATACTATAGGCCTATTCAGTACCCATCGTGAAAAGAATTTTAGCAAGACCAATTACAGAAATCGCTGGCGCGATCATTGTATCGAGCACGCGAAGGCCAAAATACACGGTCAATTTGCGTGGAAGACCGTGGCAATACAACCGAATTGGAGCACGAGGGGCTGGGGTTCGGTTGTTACGCAAAATCGTTCCTTCCTCGACAGCGTTTCTAAGTATCGGCACAAGCATCGGGATCTCTGAAAACTGGAATCGTCGATCCACGATCCAGCCTACCTATTCTTGGCCGACGATTCACCGACCCTAATTTTGCATCGATGAAAACGACCGTGGGTAGAGAAGGAGGACAAATCAAGGGGATGTAGGCGAGGAAGAAAAGAGGAGAAACGGTTGATCCACCGCGAAGAGGTCCTCTCAATCTGCAGTCGATTTTCTCGTGCACCGACCCAATTTCGAAGCCGGTGCGGGCAATTTAACCCAGACCTGGCCGTTCGTGGAACATCGTCCTGTCGGATTACCAGAACGCCGATTCCTCGTCGCACTGTAACGATCGAAACTGATTTTAAAAGTGCTCGAAGACGATCGTTCCCCACCACTTTCGTGTTCCCTCGCGTTAACCGCCATCTTGTCCTGCTGGATCGCGCTGGGCAGGGAACAATGCAGTACCATGGCAAGGAATAATATTTATAAAGGCGTTCCTCGGGGGTGTTTGCTGGAATTCATTGCGAATCGCTTGCCACTATTCTCGGTCGAGCAACAATGCTAATTTAGGGTACCGTTATTGTCGGTCGTTTCATGGCTACTATATACAAACTGCTTTTCTCTGTTCGCTACTTATGGCAGATTGTATGGCACAAGTACACCACGATCATAATTCGATGGCAATTTCAAAAATCGCCCAATACACTAAATGTGTAGGTTTCACCCGTCTACCCCGCAATCTCTACTCTTCCGTATTCAATTGACCGCGCACGCTTAAGTTGCTCGCAATTCCAGTGACACTCGTACAAGGCGGCGCCGTATATTCACGAAGCGAGTCGAGCCAAATTACCATATTCCAGTCTCCGGTACGTGTTCCTGGGCCGCGTTTGGCCCAGATTTTGCCTGGCGACTTAATAAACAAAACCTTTTGCGGCACGCGTACCCACGCAGTTTCTCGCTTAAATCCGGTTATTTTTTACGAGATTTACCCGCATTTAGATCCATGCTTTCTTTCTCAGCAACTTGCACCCCTTTGTTTATTAACGATATGGTCCGATATGGCCAAGAGAAGGATGAAACGGAAAATTATTACAAACGCATGAACAGGATAAGCTTGGACCGACTATTTGTCCACGAAATAAGGACACATTCCAGGTTTGAGAGACAAATATAAGCGGTTGAATAAAATTAGCATAATCGTGGCTGCTATCTCTCCGAGTTCTGGCTTCTTTGTTCAAAGCTACGTGTCCCCTATCTTAATAAGTACTTCGTATTAAAATCGTTGCACATGAACAATATTTGTAAAATCTCCGAAGATTATTCTGGTAGTAAGAATGGGTATAGCTGAAGTATAAAAATTTATAAAGCTACGTGTCCCCTATCTTAATAAGTACTTCGTATTAAAATCGTTGCACATGAACAATACGTTCAATTTGTAAAATCTCCGAAGATTATTCTGGTAGTAAGAATGGGTATAGCTGAAGTATAAAAATTTCTTAATTCCGTCTCTGTTTTCAGGGTGAGGGGGCATGTTGATGTGCCGGCGGTTGCTGCTGATCGCAGCCGCGATCACGGCCTCGATCGAGGCTGGCTCCGCTAGTTACCATCCCAGAATCTCCTCGGACTATTCTGGATATCCAGGTTTCCCGGTCTATCCGGGTCTGGCGTTGTCCGATTCCGCGTCAGGTTTAATCACTACGTCGACAACGAATCTAGAAAATGTTTGCAGGTACAGTCATGATAAATTCATATTTTCTTCTCCCTACTCTCCTATTTTATTATAAATATCTCTATAGTTCTTCTTCCCCCTCTTTCTCCCTCTTTCATATGTATTTGATTTTCTAGGAGAGCAATTAGTAAGCACCAATGAATAATCGTGATTACATAGAAATTCTGAAACCAGGTCAAATGGAACAGACATTCCTTTACATATCTTTATCAACTCTACCATGTTTTGTAAAAAAGGATTGAATTTTTTACGAGGGAAACTTAAAATCATCCCTAACCTCAAATGTTTCCATTGCAGATCGATGTTTTCTTACCCTTATACACTCGTTACGCTTTCCATTCGCGGGCGCTTACGAAAATAGGATTAAATCGTGATCCAAAATTGCGTCGATCGTATCTGACGATGGTCTGCTATTAAATCGTACGCGTGTCTGCTGTTGAACCAGAACGATATATATTGTATATCGTATCGAAGCGAATGCGAAAGGATATATTGTACCTTTTATTTGCATTCCATTTGCAGGCCATCAGAGTACCTATGTGGCACCGGAAGCTGCATCGCCCAGGACAAATACTGCGACGGCGAAAATGACTGCGGCGACAACTCCGACGAGCCGAGATATTGCACCCGTGAGTCCTTTATCCGACCCGCCTCGTTCGATTCCTGACCGCCATTTCCCCGAGGAATTTTAATTGAATTAAAATTCGTACTTCTCCTGGATACGTGGCCAGCAACGTGTAACAATCATTTCGAAATATGTTTCCTAAGAAACATGTTCTAAGTCTACACCACTCAAGAGTCTCTAGTTTCTACCGCCATTTTGAGTCATGTACATGTGCCAGGATCATAATTATGCTTGTGAATTTCTCCATTTAATAACTTAAATTCCACTCATAACCATTAAGAGGGTAGAGAAGATTAGAAAAAATATCCGGTTCTTTAAAATTTAAAGCAGATGTTTTCTCTGAGTTCTGTAGCTTCCTCTATACTGGCCAGGCTGTGAAACATCAGACTCTTGATATTTGCAATTGCTCTTCCACTTGCTCCGTAATCCCGAGCTTCGTGATATAGTAGCAAAGCGAGGAAAATAGAAAAGAGGAGTAGAATAGCGCTCATAGATCTCGCGAGGGGATCGCAGCCGGATTTTTATTTCTGTACGTGGCTTTGCAGCGTGCAACAGAACCCTGTTCGGCGACGTCGGTCGGACCTACAGGGTGGAAGTCCGCCGGCCGAGGGAAGATCGACTGCCATTCTTGTGTCATCTCAACTTCACTGCCGCCGGGTCTGATCTCGGAGACCTAGTTCAGGTGGGAGGCAAGAAAAGGACGCGTGAGCGCGCGCGCGCGCACACCATTGAATCCGTAGAAAATAAATGCTGACTCGTCGCGCGAGTGGAAGGAGACTGTCACGAGCCAGACAGTAGTGGCGGATAATAATTTTTTGTCTACTCCTAGGGATACACAGAGACACGAGCACATAGATGCGCGCGCGCGAGTGATGTTTTAGCGAAAATAAATTGTCTCTCGAAAATTGTTTTTGTAAGTTTGTTTATTTCTGTGTTTGTCCTCTTTAATCATATTTCTTTGCCGTACTTCTTTTTTCTTCTTTCATTGCTCGCTTCTTTATGTGCAGATCATTTTTTGTACGTGCATTTCGCGTTGTTCCGCAGCAAGTTGAGTATTGGGTTGCTGCAGGGGCTCTTGTCGATCCTTTGTCATTGAAATGAAGCAGAGGTTTTTAATTTAGCTGCGTAATGCTTTCTTTTTAAATATCTTTTGTTTAACAATAATGCTTTTACGTCAATCATTGTCAAAGGTTCAATAATGGAATTAGCTGAAGACTTTTGAACTTCCACGATAACTTGAATGGTCCTGTATGTTGTTTTCTGCTTCTCTTGTACTATCTCACCTCTTTCACTTTTCACAGATTAGTTCAGTTGATAATATTCTCCGAAGTACCGAAGAATTAACGAAGATGGAAAATATCAAGTATCGCCTTTAAAATTCGTAAAATTACAGTTGACATTCGACACGTTCACCGTGGGTCGATTTTCATCCTTCACGTCGCAAGGATGTCCGGATGGTCACATGACTATCCGGGAAAAAGGTCGCCCAGCGACTGGAGGACAATGGTGTGGAAGTGCATGGGGTTACACCGTGTATTACAGCGAAACACATTCCATCAATTTAACTTTGTATTTACTCCGGCTACCTGAGCAAGTAAGCACAGATTCGTCTCTTCACAAATTAATGTACAAAAGGGAAAACGTAAATTTATGGAGCTCATGAGCCCTGATTTATTTTTCTTTTTTTCTTCTTCCTTATACAGTCGCCATACCTTTTGGTAAACTCTGGTTTCTATGTTTAAAAGATTGTGGTAACCATGAAATACATGAATCTTGGTTTGTAAAATACAAGTTTCTTGGAACCGGAGATGTATAGAATTTCTACGTGGCCTAATTATGTATTAATTGTTCACAGGGTAGTGGCTTTAATTTCGACTTCAAGTTATCGTACAAGTTCCTGAGACGTAGCGAAGCACACCTCAGATATGGGAACAGTAGTATGGCCACATGGCGGGGAGAGCTAGTGAATGGCACTTACTGCGACCGTGTACTCACCAAGTGCGACACGCGAGCCTGTCGACTTCAGTCGCCGAATTACCCGGGTATTTATCCCAGAAACGTCACTTGCTATTACCGAGTAGAGCAAAATCGGACACCACCTGGACATCGGGCGTTGCTTGCTGTGAGTCAGCGGAACAGCCACAAGATACACATCAAAGACCAGGTCGTCAATTTCGATGACAGCCAAAGGATATTAAGGTACCATTCTCGTGAAATCGTTTCTCTCGCAATTTCATAATTTTAATTATCGACATGGAGTTAATAAATAGAATCTTTTATATTGCCCTGTAATTTAAAAAATTGAATTTCCTAAGATTTATTAATGAAATATATTGGATTATTTTGCAATGCAGAGTTTGGGATAAATGCAATATGGTGCAAGATTATTTGACAGTCTACGATGGAGATTCAACCTCCGACAAGGTGCTGGTTCGACTTTGTGGCGGTGACGCGGTGCCAGACATAGTTAGTAGCCGCAACACAATGCTTTTGGAGTTCCATACGTCTCCGTGCGACAATCCCTTTCATCCCGTTCCTTTGTCGTTCTTACCGGGCTTCGAGCTCGAGGTTCAGGTAATTTCAAACCGTTTCTAATTATACTTTCGATGATAACACTATTCAACACGAATTTTAATGTGTAATATCCCTTGAGGAATTCTTGCACAGTTTACTTTCCGAATCTGTAATCGCAATTGTTCTATCATCGTTAGTTTTCCAAAATTCTGAGCTTTTCAAAAATGGCACTATAACCTATAACTAGCTTCTAATTAATATATCAATTTTGGTATGTAGTTCTTAGCTTGATTTGAATTTTAAAGAACAATCTTTGAAAAATCATACCAATTACCAGGTCTCATTTTAGGTAAATTTCATACGTTTTTTAGAATAAACTGACAATTTTCAAAAATTGTGATAGAGCAATTTCGATTACGAATTCGTGTTCAAGTAAAACACGAAAATAAACTACACAAGAGTTACCTAATGGATATCACAAATTAGAGAAAAAGTTAAAATTTGTTGGACAATGTAAACAGACCTTTGACTAATCAATTACGTCTATCGTCTAAAGGTGCTATTCATGGACGAGAAATCCCGGAGTTTCGTAAAGGAGAACGACAACTGCGATTTTTATATATCCAGCGATGAAAGTTCTTCGGGTGTGTTGGAAAATCCGAAGCATTCCTTGCCCCCGAATACGACTTGTCGCTACCACTTTCAGGGAAAACCAAACGAGATCGTTTGGTTATCTTTTGTCAAATACTATGCTGCCAGTGCTGATGCTGCCGTGAGCATCGACGTTGCCTCCGACTGTAATACGAAGCTTCTCATTTGGGACGGCGATCGCACGATAGATAAATTAGTCTCCACTCATAAGGTACGATGCTTGTCTTCATCCTCTTCTGCAATTAGCCTAACTCACTTCTTATGAAGCAATTCGCAGGCGCTATAGTTTATTTAGCAAAGTCGAAAAACGAGGGAATAAGAAGTCTCTGGTTCTAATTTTTAGTTCAAGGGGCTCCTAAATTAATTACATGTTCATGTACAGAATATCATGCTGATGGGACAGTTTTGCAAAGATGACACCCCTCGTCTCTGCGACCACAGTTTGTTGCGGAACGGAAGTCGTCATGCGAGGCCTTGCAGTCTTGCGGAGAGCTACGTTTCTAGCGGCAGGGACCTCACTATAGAGCACATACTGCGTCAAGGAAGTGCACTTTATCCGATAAGCTTTGTACTACGTTACGAGTTCGTGCACGAGGCGATTTCTTGCAACCACGTGTTCGGTTCCGCGTCGATTTCATCCACGTCTTCCACGTCCTCCTTGTCCTCTTCATCGTCCTCCTCATCTCTGCTCTCATCCCCCAAAGCGGGTAAATTCGCGTCCCCGAAAAGTGTATTCTTTTACGGTCGCGGTGGTGCGCAGAACGTTAGCTGTGTGTATCGTTTCGAGGCTGAGCCGGATCACAGAATAGAACTGTCCATAAACAAAGCCTCATTCGGAGATAAAGGATGTTCCTCGTACGTAGACCCGTTAGTCAATCGGTGGACCTGCGATCGGCGCATAGGAGATTTCGTTAAGGTTGGCACTGCAGAGTTGGTTGTTGCCGAGTACCCTTGGCAGGGAGTAGAATTGGTACGGTTATTTTAATATTGGTATATGAAAGTAACAGATCAATGGGAAATATATGCCATATGAGCAAAGTAAATTTAAATAATGACGATATTATTTTTATATTCAGGTTCGCGATTGCCTGTGTTCCAATGTGAGCGATAAGATAGTTCTGAGAACCCTGACATCCAACGTGGTTGAGGTTCGGTTCACCGTATCCCTGATGACTGTTGCACAGGATTATAGGGACTTCTATTTCGAGGGAGAGTACCGTTTCGTTGCACTAGGAGCGGAGACGAGCGAGCAAGGTTGCTCGACCAAACTCGAAGAGCGACGATTACGCGGGACCAGTGGTGAAATTTCCCTCAGAAGTCCCTTGTTACGAATAATTCCCGGTGTTGCAGCCGTAGAAGAGATCCTGACCAATACAGAAGATCTAACTGCGACTCAGTGTGTGAATGAGCCTTGGTTAATAGAGCCCGAAGATGCAAGGATCAATTATTTGTATTTAAGGACGGCTGGATATAGTATCACGTTGGACAACGTTGAGCAATGTACGACGTTAAATAGAATTGTCGTCTACTCGGCAGCTAACACAAAGGATCGTAGTGTAATTTGTCCCGAGGGTGGCGTTGATACTGCCAGAACGGTTGATTTCTTCTCTGGTGGTTGGAACTATAGCGCCACTAATGCTACGATAGCTATGACGCAACACTCGAGGAGCTTCGTTGTTGAGTTCCTTCAAAGAGAAGCTGGGTTCTATGCTGTCACGTGGATGGCTATTTCTAAGAGATCTCCTAGTCCTAGCGTTGGACCCAATGTCTTCACAATACTGCCTCACGAGGATTGTCCTTATCGGTAAGGTTACATTATATAAATAAATATAGAATTATGCAAATCAAAATAACAAGTTGTATTTTTTATACATTTTTATTTTACAGATGCCCCGAAATTCAGGCGTGTATAAGTTCTGTCCTATGGTGCGATGGGATTCGCCATTGCCCCTCCGGTTTCGACGAAGAAGAAACCAATTGTTCGTACCGGTTTGGTGTAACATTACTCTACGTGGCCGTAGGCGCCGGCGCCCTAGGTATATTCTTGATCCTCTTGCTTGCCACCGGTTGCCTCAAGTATTGTCTTTATCGACACAAAGCTCGTAAGAAAAAAAAGAATGTTGTTCTAAATGTGAATCATCTCCATGTGAATCACACACATCACAATAATGGTCTAACTGGAAGTCGCCTGAGCGGACGTTACAATCTCGCCACACCACAAGAGATGTATCTGGAGAATTATGGGAAAGACAGTATTTGTTGACAATACGCCATTGCCAATATCGAGACCGTCGTGTGAATATTACAGGATTTTTAAAATACGCCTACCTCGCTGGCCTCTTTAATCCCTCCCCCCTCCCCTCCCGCGGAGAGAATGAAAACAAACGACGGAATAGTCGACCGAACGTTTACCTATCTGAAAGCGCGCACGCGCAAGAAAAACATATACGCAATAATCGTATTAAACTCTCGTAGACCAATTCGAAACATTTAAGAAAGGAGCGACTCTCGGGTTGTTTTCAAGCCACGACCACGATCTACGCTTTGTCCCAAGTTAAGTGATATTTAATTTTAAAGTACACGAAAGGAAATGCATTTCCTTTAACGACAACATTTAGAATTTAAATTTAAGTTATTTCGAAGCATTATGAAGTTCTAAATTTTACAGCATTTTAAATGACAGACAAAGGGTGGGTCGAATCGATGAAAAGCGTTCGCGCTATTGAAACAATTCGTGTATAAGGTTTTCATGGTAAAACCGCGGTATCACAGTAGCACTAGAGACACACGTTTTTAGGTTAAAGCAATGCGTAACGATGAGAAAGAGAAAAGGAAGCATACAGAGCGTGAAAGATTGTACCTATGAAGAAAATAAAAGGAAAAAACGAGCACGGTTGATGCGTACGAATATATGCTTTTAAAACGAAGTAGGAACCTGTAATTTGCATCGAAAGAAAGAATTTTTAGCACGTCGGTTGCCGGGAAACGAATGTCACAAACGTCCATGACGAGAAACGACGCAGAACAGAATTGGCGGGAAGAAGAGGGAACTGAAAATGGCGGCCAGTACAAAATCCGCTTAAACGAATTTGATATAAATCGCATGTGAACATCGCGGGAAAAACGAAACAAACTACTGTGATTTACTGAAAAGGGAATTTAAAAAAGAAGCAAAAAAGAAATAAAAAGCTTGATCATACTTTACGAAAAAACATACAAATGAAAAAGTGCAAAAAAAAAAGAAAAAATAGAGAAAAGAACGTAATTATTTCGACCGATATTTGTCACTTTTAAAACTGGTTTTACTCTATAATTTTATAAATTGTCGTGTTTGGACGACGATATTCATATGCAATTTATTCTAAAGAATTACACGACCAAGATCAACCAAACACGTTATCACCGACCCTCCGGTTCCACCTTATTATCAAATCGATGTAATCTGCGTCGATCCGTCGATAAATCCATCGTTTTTTGTAAAAAAACACGCAGCCACCATGATCATTAACGCGAGAGTGTAGCGGTACCTTCCACAGCTGCCATTTTTGGATCTAGTTCAAGATTATAAAAGTCTCGACAGACGTAATCCGGTTGTCGATATTCTATGCTCCCGCGTTAAACGCAATCCTAACCTATCCAGATTTCATAAGTACGTTAACAAAGATGATATAACATATAGTTAAATCACACATGTAACCTAGGTTTGATATCGATGCGCGAGGCTTGACTGGGATGTAGAGATTGATGTATAGTTGATTACCGTTTAAACGAATGCGAAGACGAAAGAAGTGGGCAATATGAGATTGACAACGCATACATTGTAACCCTATTACGAAAGTGTTAACTACTAAAAAAGAAAGCCATCGTTTCACGTACGCACACCCCCATACACGTACGAGAGGGAAGACATACTAACATACATACCACATACACACACGTATGGTAAAAGCGCGTATAATTTACGTCTGTATGCTGTGATAGAAGTAAGCGTATCAACAATCGGAAATAAATTTCTCGCGTGAACTTTGTTTGGATTGTGTTGATCCCTTTGAACTTTAAAATTAAAATACTGTCCGTGATTCCACCACTCCTATTATTTCATATCTATACATGAAATGAATTCATAAATGCAGTAAAATTACACTGTAAGTAAAAGTTAAATAGCATTTAAAAAAGAATGCGACCCCATTTGAGTGAGAAGGCTTAGGGCAAGGCAGGTAAAGCGAAAGAAATATTTCTTTTGAAAAAGTTCCGATTTCGTTATTTAAGCACATCTCTTGGTAGACCTTCGAACTAACGAGCACATTCAGCTTCTTATATTTTCGTCACTTTTATTTGTTTTATTTTAATATTCAACCGGTTCTTTTAAAAAGATGTGCTTTTAAAGATCAATGTCGGTCAGCTATAAATATCACCCTTTAGACGAAATGTTCAATGTCGGTCACTGAAGACCATCTTAGTAATAATTTATTTCAGTTTATTGAAAGTACCCTTTGAGATCATGCTTGCTTTTTTCTGCAGTCCTATCTTATTTTGAAATCTCGAGGTCTCGTTCCGTTTTCTATTCAAAGACTACTATTTCAATTCGCAGAATTTTGGGCTAAAGAATTTTACAATTTAAAAAAAATATGTTTTTTATTCCTGCAGATGGCCTCAATGATTAATTAATAAATTTTTGACATGCAATAGTTGACATAAAGTGATTATACATATTATAATTATATATACATATATAAATATAGCCTCTGAATCCTTGGCTTTGTACGATATACATTTATTGAATACATTATAAACAGGTATAATCAGGTACGTCGCATGATCAATGTGAAAAAATTTATTAACAAATATTCTTATGTTACAACAATGACAAACCCATGACAGACCATATCCCATTAATGATGGTAGAATTTGTTGAGTGACAATTACATTTGCTAGGTTGATTCGAACATTCCAACGCCTAAGAGTAAATTTCTTCGTGAAAAGTGTAGCGCCAATACTGGACTGTTTTTTGTCGCAAATGTTCGAAGGAGATATGTTTCTGCATTTGTTTTTACATCTGGATTGTGCGAGACGTTCACGTCCTCTAAACTCATTTCTTCTGCGAGTTTCGTAAAATCCCATAACTTAAGTGTAGAATCTAATGACCCTGAAAAATAGGATAAAATACAATTTTTCTTCATTCCTTGGATGATTGTTAAAAAACTGAATATGTAACAGTACTAACCTGAGACTAATATGTTTCCGTCCCTACTAAACGATAAACAATGAATGGTACCAGTATGGCCCGATAAAGCAGCGACAAGGTGACCATGCGCTAAATCCCAAACTAAAACACGATGGTCTGCGCCAGTTGACGCCAGAAATCGACCTTCTGCGGAAAAAGCAAGGGAGTAAATCGGAGCTTTGTGTCCTGTCATTAATCTGACTTGGCTACCAGTTACGCAGTCCCATAATCTTACTGTCATGTCACTGGAACCGGTCGCTACGTAGTTTGAATTTGGATGAAATTGTACTACCTAAACAAGAATTAATTTTTCATATTTCGATTCGTTTATGACATATTTCAGATTTATGAATATAAACTTACATCTACATCTGAGTAGTGACCAGCAAATATTCGAAGTGGTTGGTGAGAATCAGTTGCCCAGAGTCGGGCAGTTTTATCGTGAGAGGAAGTCGCAAAATAGTACCCATGAGGCGAAAATCTTACACACCATACTGGGAATAAGTGTCCTTTGTAGCATACGACACACGTCCATGTATGCAGAGACCATAATCGTACTATAATAGAATAGAATACAATAACATTTATCCAATATAATAATTAATACATCATTTTAAAATATACCTGTACTGTCTTCTGAAGATGAAAGAAGGAGATTTCTGTCTGGACTAAATGATAAACTGTATATTGGGCCATTGTGTCCAAATAATGATCTCGATGTTTCTGCTGTACGATCGTCCATCATCCTTACTAATACATCATCTATAACATTACGATATAAACACGTTTTGAAATAGATAACACTTTATGATTCAGTGGAATAAAGATAATTATTACCTGCTTCTCTATCTATATCCTGTAGTTGTTCCCCTGTTTTCATCAGTCTTAATTTTTGTGGAATTAAACTCCACACTTTTATACAAGAATCACTGAACCCAATAGCCAATAAACTCGAATCTTCTGCTACTTCAGCCGCTGTCACACTAAGTCTCGTATTATATATATATGATCGTGTTTATTTATTTAGAACTAATCTTTATGTAAACTTACGTATGCACCGCGTTCAACAGCGTGTAAAAGCATATAGATGGCAAGGTATCTGGACCAAGTACAACACGTTTTGATGCTTCTCTTAATGCTTTTACTTTTTCTAACTTATCCGCGTCTTTTCTATACTTAATCAGATTTTATCACTTTTTATATAAATATACAATAAATACATAAATAAATAAATCTCCTTACAAATTAGGTAGAGGCATTCTACCAACAGGAGGTGCATTTGGATCTGATTTTGTTTTCTTGGAAAACAGTGGATCCTTTTTAGCTTTCTTCTTTTTTGGTTTATCTCCATCTGCTCCACCTGTATCGTCCTCTTCTTCTTCAGTTGGAGGCATACATTGAATGTCTGGCTCCTTCAAAAGTCCATAATATACCTTTGCCTTATTGTCTTAAATAAAAATTATACTATAGATAAAATATACATTTTTTTAAAATTGATCAAGTTCTACCTAAAGTCTTACCTTGTCTTGTTGCTTCACCAACTACTGCACCCGATGTAGCATCAATTTGTTGTTTATTCCTAGCCACTCCTTCATACATATCAAAATAAAGATGCTCTTGTATAATATTTAACAATACACTATGCTTTTTCTCTTGTAAATGTCGTTTCAATATGGAAAGAGTATCTCTTGACATCCTGATTATAAACTGATTAGATCTACAAAATATTTTATGTTATTTACAGAGCAACATTATATCATAATTATCTGAGTTCTTTAATATGTACTTGAAAGTATCAGTTAATTCATTTCCAGCCATTTGTTCACGTTTTGTAACATTGGATAATCTTTTCAAATCATTTTGATAATATTCTTCTAAATTTCCACCAAATTTCTCCAATAATAGTTTTGCTTCCTCAGAATGATTATTATAAACCAATTCAAGGTACATATGTACCAATACTGGGTATAAAATTGTACCCAATTCATGCTGTTATTTAACAAATAAACATATTTTTTATATTTTGTTATATCCCTCATAAAATAAATTTAATTTCTAATAATATACCTTATATATATCTAAGGAGCCCTCTACAAATTTTTTTAATTCGCTGTATGCTTTCTCATAAAGAGCAGGATCACCTTCACTTTTATAGGCAGATAGAACACTATTCACTTCGGAATCAGTTTGTTGAGCTTCATCTGGTGAAATATCTGTCAGATTTGCCTCCTTTTTGAATAGTTCCTCTGTTCCCTATAAAAATAATATTTATAGAATTACAATAATAGTATATATTTAAGCATTGATATGATATTTTTCATGCAAGAATATAAAAAAGATACGATGGCATTTTTAAAAAATATGTAATGTTTATATTACTGTTTGAGGTTAGAAAAGTTTCGGCAGCGAAATTTTTTACGAAATACCTTTAAATTATACTTTCTGAGCAGTTGCAAAACTGCAAGCATAGTACTTTTCTCGTTCTCCATTTTCAATCGATTTTTTATGTCAAGAAAAGCAAAATATTTGTTAACAAACAAATCACACACAAAATATACACCCGCCACACTGTCCGAACGCGCACATAGGCGCGTGTATACAGCCTATTATAACGTAATTTCTCGTCATTAAAACAGGAGGCGCTACGGTCGCATTATATTGTACTATATAGTATACGAATCCTATAAAATTAAATAATTGAATATAAATCTTATTATTGTATTGGTTTCTTTACGAGTTATGCTTCGCAGTGTTCTCATTTTTTTATTCAAAATTAAATTTTTTATTTAAAAATATCACGGAAGTTTCATTATTGATATCATGTGACACTACGTACGCGGGTTGATGAAAAAAATTAAGAATTACTTTTATTATTTATTAACAGTCAATTCTACACTATGATAAATAAAAACAGATATGGAACAAGAAGGTATGGTAAAGATAAACAAGTCAAGCAATCTTCAAAATAATTTATTAAAAATGTCGCATACTCGATATTCGAATCGGTAATCAATAATGGTATAATTAGTAACTATATGCATGTCGTGTGAGCATGTTTCCGGAGGTTCTGTTGCAATTTTTTACGTCTGGCGGTGATCAATCCTCTATCATTCACGTTAACAATCCCATAGAAGTGTCCTTCAGGCCAAACGACGCAATCTTATTAATATTGACCGATTAATTATCACGGTTGTATTATGAATGGTATACTTATTAACGTCTTTTATTTAAAATTTTACAATAGTCTTTTCCAATTTTCAGTACAGATCATTAACGTAATGTACCTCAAAACTATCTCATTGAGCATTTCATTAAGTGAAAAGAGGATTTCTCTTTCTTTCTTTTTCGTTTAAGACATATTATCGGCCTGATGGACGCATCTATAATCATTTTTACATAACATTTGCTTTCATAAACGTGTATGGTGTACGAGCGCATGCGCGCATGTTATTGTCGGGCCTGTTCTTAATTCCACGCTCACCGTAGAACAAATTGGATAATTTGTTCTTACTCATAAGGTATTCTTTCGTTTATGTTTATGATTATTTCCTTGTAATAACAATGTCAGAAATCGAGATAGTTTCGCTGTCTCGAGGTATTTAATGTATATTCATTCCTGCGCACTTCGTGCCGTGGGAAATGCATTTAAAAAATCAGAGAATCCCTAAGGTCTATATTAAATCTTTGAACGAGTCGAGTATAAAGTGTTGAGCAAAAAAAAAGTAAAGTATTATGTGCATGGAAAGAAAGAACATTGAAAGCACTCATTGTAATGCGAATGAATGATTATGCAGGAATTTCAAAATTAAATATCAATATATCGACAGTCGGTAATGTTGCAAATTGTTTGATTTTGATTGGTTCAAAGTAGATTGGTATTAAAACCAGAGTAGAAATATTTATAAAATAGAAAAAGCAAGAGTATAAAAGGAAGTTAAATTTAAGAATACGGAGAACCTTAAAAACGGGATTGAGTAGACAACACACCGACTGTTACAAGTATATGATACATACCATGTGATCCTGTATGAAAACGATGACAGAGGAAGCAATACTTATTGCTTACTCCTTATTTTTGATCGTTTGAAACGATGATTATTGCGGGGCGCCGAAGCATTTCAAACAATAAGCGTTTTCGGCAGTCTTCGGGAAGAGTTTGGAACTCATATAACTTCTGTGCTACTAGATAAACCAGGCCTGCTCACCGGATATATCCTCGAAGTCCAAATCATCTTCTTTATTTTGTCTCCATTATCATAGCATAGAAAGTGCTCGATAATTCGTTAATTATATGTCGATTCTTCGACGAACAAAGTTAGAGCACAAAATATAAACACTAATTAGCGAATTAAGGTTAGTTAGTAAGTAGCACCATAGATGGTACTCTAATCGTTCCTTTGATTAGCATTGCACCTTTCAATTTTTTTTTTCTTTTTCTTATTTTGTACTGTAAATTTATCCTCTAAAGTATCGACACTACACGATATGATTACTTTTACGCTGTCACTATTCTATTTTTCGGAGACCATGAGGCTATGATGAAGAATAATTGATTTGGGAATTCCATACATGGACAGGCCTGAGATAAATGCTGTACAAATCAGTCCACGGCGTTTCATAAACTTCCTGATTACATCACTCCGCCTTATATTCCAGTTTTTCTTCCCTCTATTTTATGACCGTTCATTTGTTGCTTTTTTACGTATAACAGTTTGTCAAGAAATGATTATTAAACTTAATCGTCTTGTGCAGTTTCTTGATTTTTACGATTATCTTTTCGGCAACACTTACGCTTACTTATGTACATAGAATCGCGCGAATTTTTCTCAATTCTACGCGCGTTTACCGGAAGTCGTTTACATTTAGCCTTTTCATTATATTTGGAATTCATTTGGTTTCGTTTATCGTTTCTCGACGGTCACCGTTGTTAATCATGGGAATAATAAGTATTCTATTATTTCATTTTCGATTAACTATTCCCTGATGATTATTAAAAAAATAGGTTCAAAATAAATATCATAAGATGTAAGTACTTATGAGAATATAATCAACTGAATAGTTATCTACTGGTGAGAAAACTTTGCTAACACTTCACAAGACTTTGGTTTCCTTGAAACGTATCGTTACATTTGCAACCTAAATTTAATTATATACTTTAGACTATAATTTAGGTATGAAGTAATTTAAGTACCGTCACTGCAAGAGATAACATTTGTTCTTAATATCGATCTTCCGTTCGTTAATCCCAGCGCGTTCATAGATATGGTTTTAGTATATCGTAATTAATAATGTCTAATCGTCTACATAGTTATTCGTTTAACTTAGATCGTGATCTAGAATTAGTTAAAACTCGTACGTGTGTATTTTACGTTTATTTACAATCGAGTCGCTCATCGTCTATTTACACGTACACCCATCTGCATGGAACATCGACCTGTAATCGCAATGAATTCCTCTTCGCGAACTTAAAATTGACAACACAATAACTTGCAAATTAAAACATCTGACATCTATAATTGCGAGTGTTAAAAATTATTTAAATACAGAATTAGAAAATTGGATAATTTAACGATACGACGATTTAAAAATTTATAAATTTGATAATTCGAAAATTTGAGTACTTTCATGTGTTAGCGCAATTCTACTCTCGGTTCTATGAAAACATAAAGTTTATTAATTTCGACTTTTAATCACTGAAATTTAAGAATTGTGGAACGACATTAAACCGAATTTCCGGGAATTCTCGGAATTTCCTCTGATCGAATCAATAGTCGAGTGGTAAACGTAGATCCGGCATGGTTCAGAAGATATGAGTTACAAGGGCCGGTTCGTTTGTCGTCCACGCGATTCCATGGCCGATGGTCATCGCTCTGCGGGCGTCTCTAAACACGCGGGTCGCGTTTTCATGCGCGACGTCAATAAAGGTCCGCCGATAAATTGCACCGGGGGGCTGTTTCGTTTGCGTATCGGTTCGCCTGTCGTAGTAATAAACCTTTACTGTCCTCGTGCACGTGAACAACGCGCCCTCATTTGGGAAACCGTACATTTTTCCTGCGCACAAGCTCGTTCACCGTTGTTCATTTTCAATTTCCATTTGGAAAACCCGTGGCTCGTTTTTAGAACATTTAAAATTCGTGCTTAGCATTTAGCGTCACGGACCTTTGTGCGGTTCGTTATCTCTTCCGTTTATTCCTTCTTTCCAACGTTACTGACAGTCTTGTTATCGACTTGTTGTAATAATGTCACAACTGAATGTACTTGGGACTTGCAGAGTAGCTTTCTATCTTGAGGAAACCTAGCATATGGACTTTGTTTTAGTATAAAGACAAAATATTCCTCGCGTTAAGTAGTTATTAATTAAATAAATAAAAATAAGTGAAAAGTGGAATTAAAAATAAAACAAAACATTCTGGTCAGTTTCAGGATCCCCAAAGGATGGACTGAATGTTGAAGTAGAGGAACTTACGGTGAAAGGAATATTACACTGCAGGATATCTTGAAATGGTGAAACAAATGGTAAGGAATGATCAATGAATAACATCACAATTGCCTCGTATGTCTGTAACAAAATGTACAAGATATTTCAAAATTATTTGACATAATAATACTCAAATCTGTCTTTCAGCTACCTCATCGTCCCCGGTGAACGAAGTTGCGCGCTGGATATGATGGTTAGAGGCGAAAACGCAAGGCACAGTGTTCGCGCTGGCCTCTGACGACGTTTGCCTGATCGTTTCGTCGCGATATCTTATCTCATGAAAGTTACACTCGTGGGGAAAAAAGAGAACCCCGCTGCTGATTCTTCCGGCGGACCATTCTTGAACTTCTTCGACTTATTCTTATGGTTCTTCGACGGGGATGCGAGTGGTAACCAAAACGAGATCTCGGCACTGACCTGATCTAGTAATAAATCAAGTAAGCTTCGCCATTCTGGGAGGAATCCTCTTTCATTTGGCTGAGAAAACTTTATGGCGTTAGCTTGTTTGTCTTCGATGTCCTGGGTATATTTGGATCACATTTTTACATTACAGAGTGGATACAGACTCCATTTTACTTTTTCTTACTTTTTGTTCTATTCATTTTTTTTTTTTTTAGGTTAGGTTATTGCTATTTGATCGAGCAACAGATCTATGATAAGAGATATAAATACCGGTAAATTTTTTAGGGTAATTCATTCTTCTTTGGCAGCTCTTTCGTTGGAAAGATGGTATCTGCTCGTTTTTAAATTCAGAAAGCGTCTTCATTCCTTTTTTGTTCGATAATTTTTATCTTTGATCTTCGTGATCGGTATCCATCCCTCGCTGGTCGCCTGAATCTCTGGAAAACGGTTGGATAAGTACGATAATAAGGAAACGAAATGGCAGTGAACCGATATCACGTAACACTTTCCGTCGTAAGAGCAACAATAGAATACGAAACTAAAGCGTCAGTCTTCAATTCTCTGGGAATGTATCGCGCCGAACCGGGATCACGCGAGTAAACTGAACAATCAAGAACGAAGAAACCGTGGTTAACTGTCCATTTCCCGTTTTGGCACGGTCAAATCCAACGGTCATACGAAATATTGGTCCCCGCAACGCAAGAAACGCGAACGACACATCGAGAAAACTGGGAGAAAACAATCGTGGAAACATACTGGTTCGTTGCACGAGTTGGTTCTCGAGCGTGATTAATTGTCTTTCGCGTAGAGAAACGCTACTTCACCGATTCGTATCGAGTGGAACGTGAGAGAACGCGGAGAATAAACCTTAATCAACGATATTGCGAAATAAAGAAACGCGCGTATTTTCTTCTTCGTCTTATAGACAAGTCTTCTCGTAAGGACGAAATCTGGTGACATTTCGACGAGAAATTTCCTCTGTCCCTTCTCTTCTTTCCGACAGGCTGTTTGTTGTCAGTCGCTTGTATGACAGCCATGACGAGCTACAGTGGCGCCATCTACGCGAAGGAATTCGAAATTACTGTAAAATCCACTGACCGACTTAGCCTAAAGAATTGTACGCCTCGATAAACCGAATGAATCTCGATTTCTCCGAAGTTTATTTTGATTTTGTTCGCTTATTGAGAATTCTGCACGTAGAGGGGCCATCAATGGCTCGAGGAACTCCGCTCAATGTGGCAGTCGCTTGTGGTCGGTCCGTTGAAAGCATATAGAATTAATAAATCGAGTGAAAAATGTGCGGTTCCACGCGAATACATTAACGATTGTCTTTCATCAACGTATAATGGAGGGTCAGTTATTCAACGGTTATCGACTGTGGCTTTCGTTCCGTAGACATCCCGTGGATATTCGTTCACCGAACAATGGTTGACGTGTACGCTGAACACAGCGAGAAAACGATGGCGGTGCTTTCAGTTACCTGACCGGTCATTATTTTTTTCTTCAATCGTTTTTTGCCTTGCCTCTGGATCACTTCGCTTTGCCTCGTATCCTCTGTCGATTTTGTTCCTTCGTTTTTGCTTCTGCGCTTCGCGAACTCTACGCTTATCGGCTAATAGTAAAGCGGTTTAGAACGGGCCTCCGTTTGCGGCAATTAATTATGGAGAAACAGAAAGGAAACTCGAGATAATAGAAATTCCTAAAATTAAAAAAAGTATGATCAAAATGTTATATTTATTATATCTGAAATAATTGTATTCTCAAATTTTAATTACCTTGCATATCTCCGAACTTGAATCAATCCCTAAATTTTTATATTCAAATCAACCGCTGATTTGTTAAATTTGAATTGACCATTGAATATTTAGATTCGAATTGGAAATTGAAAATGTGAAATGTACTCTAGCCGCAAACGGGGACACGTGCACGAACATGTCGTGTTACCCGATACAAATAGATAGATAATCAGTTATGTACAAGTATGAACATGGTGTACAAGTTATGGCGTCGGGTGTCGTCACGGCGTCAATTCTATCTGTCCAAAAAATCGACGCTTTCCCAATCACGCTTATACCGATTTTCATTGTCGACAACCCCTCTGGCCAGGATGTAACAATCATTAAACGGAGCACAGCTCCGCGGAAAACAGCATTATATATATCACATAATTTCAGGCTACCATGTTTCTACATCATTTTCTTCGTACTCGTTCTTCCCGAAGTCTTATCGCTATATGTGACAGTATCATTACGTCGCCTAAACGGTAATCACTTGAAACATTTGGTCAGTATCTATAGTTCCCGACTTATTACCAGACTATTCCATCGTGACCAACATGAATCAATCAAAGTGGTTCCAATTGTCTCCATTAAGTTTGTGATTTATCTCTTACAATATCAAGAACTCCTCAATTGATAATCGAATGTGGAAACGCCACCATTGCCTTACTGCAGTTCACTTCTAATCTAGATGTCTCGCTTCAGACACTTTTCAAGTAGATTTCTCTTTTCGGCACTCTTGTTATCTGTTCCAAATGAAACACAAGGTACCTTAAATTTATTGATCATCAAAATATAGACTACTAAGGAATGATAAAATATTTTATTCCTTCTTAGTAACGAAACTTTTAAAGTAAATGTTTTAAGCACCTACTAACGAGCCATTTTCCATGTATCAGGTTATCTAATGAATTCTCGATGAATTAGTTGCTCGCTGACAGAGGCCTTCAAGTTCTACTTACTGCTAGCATTACAATTGGCATTGGCATGAACAAAAGGAGAAGACAGAAATGTCCCAGTTATTCTTGATTCACGTTATCACGATGAAGCCAGTCGTGGTTCACCTGAATACGCGCGACTTCGACCGAATATTTTACAGAGGATCTCGCGCGCTTACCAAAGGGGAGCAGGAGAGAGCGGAGGAGAGAGAGGAGCCATTGGCTCGTGCTTAAAACCGTGTCTTCTATCTTCGTCGAGATGACCTCAACGTACGATCGAACGACTGTAATGCGAGTTTTTCTTGCTGGTTCCCTGCTCGATGCCATAGGCCGCCATCTTGTTCTCCTCTTCTTAAAGTCGGCGTTTAATCGAGCGCGAAGTTCAACTGAATTTCAGGCTCCTCTAACATGCCAATATCTACGATCCAGGCTTCGATGGATCGACCATCGTTCGATGTGTCGAAGGATCGAGACACCTAGTCGTTAGAGACGTAAAGTTAGCTATACTACCAGCAAAAACGATATCACTAGGATTTCATTACTTATTGTCCTCGTTCAAGCAACTCGATTTCGCACGTTTCGTAGGCTCTCTAATCGAGAAACCTTTGAAAACGCGTCGTTCTGTGCTCTCGGCGCAAATAATAACCAGTCCGGAAGTGTCTAGGCCAGTGCTGTTCAATTTTAGCCTACGGGTGAGACAAATTTGACATTAACGAAATTTATCGAGAAAGTAAAGATTGGAATAACTGATGTAAAACATTTACAGTATAATCAATTCCTTTTTGTTTAAACATTGAAAGGTAGTGTTGAAAATTGTACCAGAGTTTCTACCATTTCGTCTAGGTCGCTTGACAAATCAAGATAACCATTCGTTTAGTCAAAAATTTGTTCTCGAACACGAAGGAACAAGAAGAAATTAAGCTGTCGAATGCCCTGAATATCAAAAACTTATCTCACCCATGAACAGCAGTGGTTCATCTCCGTAAAACATCTACAAGCACCTATCTCTGAATCTTCGGTGTCCATCATCGAACCTCTCTATGAAATCCCCTAGGGCATCTTCCAATAGGGACATCAAAAGGAGTCTTCGAATATCATGAACCTCTCTGCAAGTAAAGAGGAAAGCGCAAGCCGGTCCAGGTCATCGAGCAGTGAACCGTCCTTTCGAGTAGAGTCTAGGTCTCCTACGAAGTATACCAGAGCAGTTCTGCGTGTTACGCGGAGGCGGACGCCGTCGTGACGTCGGAACGGGTGTCCCCTTCAAGGGGACACCAAGTGGGACGCGACGACGCCACGATGAGCGACAAATGGGACGACCGTGGGCTATCGTCACACGGTGGTCACCCGGTCGACCTCTACGTATCGCACAGAACTGTCGCTGTGTCAGCAAATCACTTCTTTTCCGTCGATGATCGCCGTTTCCGAGGAGATACTCTTCAGCCGGTGCTGCGATATCGACCGGTTTGCTCGTTGTCTGCAGATTCGCCAAATCACGAAGAAGATCACGCAGAGGATCGTGATGATGGCAAGGATACCGAGGCCCAGGTGCAGTGGAGGTAATTGCATGAGGATCGAGCAATGGGTCAGGGCTTCATCGTAGCCTGATGGACAATGGGAGACCCCGTCACACCATAGAGACGCGTCTATACATGCGTCTAGCTCTGGACATCGCTGTTCGCAGTCACGTGGCATCTGTAGCCCTGCGGTGGATGTTACCGATGGCCTGGTAAGGGACATTAAAAAATAGGATATTTAGAATTATATAAACAGGATTAATCATTATTAATGAGTTGCATTTTGCGATTGTCTATAGAGGGAAGTACCGTGTTTTTAGAATCATACTATTTAACTTTAAGTTTTTTAACTGTATTTCACAGTATCAATCGTGCAATTGCGATGAGGGCACAGGTCTCGAGATCCTTAAGGCTGACTTGGGGGACCCCCTGACACGTTTACTAGTGAAATCGTAGGAATAGTGTATGAATGATTTCTCAGGGAAGTAGATCTTCGTTGCACTTCCCTAAATGGGATTCTGGTGTTAGGAGAGAGGAGAAAGAGTTCTTAACACTGTTCCAAGTGCAGTTTTGGAACAAACAAACCAACGTTTTAGTGGTTTCTAAGGGAGCTAAGCCCAAGCTTGCCTGAATGAAACTTTAGGAGTGCAGTATTAGGGGAAAAGCCTTGGAAGAATTCTTTCGCTTCTTTCTTGAAATAGCATCAATGCTATTTTTCCTTTACCATTTTTTTCAGGTAGGATTCTAGAAATAGTGTTGTAGGGATTGAAAGGTGGAGCGAGGATACCTTGACACAGTCCTGTACTCTGGTGAATTGAGGGTAAGCCTCTATATAGCATGGAACAAATTCTAGTTTACGTCCTTCATTCAGGAACCTAAATTGAATTGGATGAAGGAAATAACCAAGCTGTTATTATTCTTAACACTGGAAATACCAAACCTGTTAAAATGGCTGGTTTCAAATATTCTATCTTTGCAATTACTAAAAATACTATTGTATTATTAGTAACTTAAAGGATCCCACGAAAGATAGTCTGAAGCAGCAAATGAAGCAGATATTTTCAATCACCTTCTAGTAAGCTCTAGCCAGGTAACCGTGTACGTATCCGGTTCCTTGACGATAAACTCGACAACTATAGTCCTGATGGGGTCCTGACCCGGAGCTAAGATCATAGCATTGCTACTGACGGCCCAGCCGTCACTGAAAATCTCGACCACGTGATGCCTGGACTCCGCAGGTGGTTTCGGGCATACTGATACGTGGATCTGGCCACCCGTGTGCACCACGATTCGATTCTTCGTCGCGCACTTGCTCGTGTTTGACATTATTGTGCCATGCATTTTCACGTAGAGATATTGGTTAGGACCTGGGTCGATCAGCCACGGATACTTCTCGCAATTTTTCTGCAAATAATCCAATAAAGGACATCAGGCTTAAATGCTAGTAAATTCAAAGTGCAAATTAAAATATATCCATAATATTACGAAGTAGAAAGATCATAGATATAAATTACAAAAATAAATGTTTCTCATATACAGATATTAAATGTTTCGATATTTCATACCTGTATAAAAATGGGGTTAAAGATAATCTTCGATACTATTTAAACGTTACTGTCGTGCCACCTATTGTCACTCATTATAAAGTACTACAGAGTGGTTTCCTCGATAGGTAACTCACGTAACACTGCAACGGGTATGCAGTGTTTGTATACATATGTAGAAACTGTCAATTCGTGTTTATCGTAACTCAGAATCTTCCCTAAAAGAGCTATCAATCTAACCCTTCCCGTATCCAAGATTTATAGGTTATGGAAACCTCACCTCTTCTTCGTCTGTAATAGGCGTCTTATATTTGATTTCCCCTGATGGTCCCCTCATTCTACGTTTTTGCATGCAGGGGCTGATTTTCATAAAGCCCCAGGTGCCCTCGAAGAACAGGTTGTTATAGTCGTCCAATGAGTCCATAGATGTCACGGTGAAATGTACCTCGACAATGTTAGACGTGGACTTGACGTTCATCGGCAGAGATCGATTCGAGCAGAAGCAGTCCCGTTGGACTGGTGGCACGTTTGGCCATGGAAGATCCAGCACCTGTGGATATCAAGCGTGATTCGATCCTCGGTGTCGCTTACAAATTAATTAATCGACAGATTATTATAATTACTCAACCAGGCAAACAAACGTGACACGGCGCGGAGAGCATTAGCGGTCCTAATTGCCCTTTAAATTTGCGGACGCGAGCTCGTCATAAATTTTAGAATCGATAGCGGACTCTATCGGGCGGTAGTGGTGGTACGGTTTCAATTCTCGATCGGAATTTCAGATTTATTTGGTCATGTGAACGCTTGCTCGTTTCGGCTCGATTTTGGCGCCCTCTTGTCGGTCATCGTTTACACGGTGAATTTCTGACAAACTTTTAATGAAAACGCGGCCTCCTTAATTACAAATCTGCCATACCTACGATCGATAGCGGTTCTTTCGATCGGTAAAGTTTGAATTAAAATCGTTGCTCATTCGTAGTGAGGTAGATTCGAGTTCGTGGGTTTTTCGCCTGAGTTAGCAGTTTCTTATAAATCTACGATTGAATCGATAAATTATTGGTTCATTATTCTCGCGATTCATGTACACGCAGAAAGAATTAATCGTTTGGCATATTTCAATTTAAATGAGCTCGAAGAGAGAAATAGAAATTTTTGGTCCGTGAATTTTATCAATTCCGATCTCGTGATTAATTTTTGAACAAAGCAATATGCCGGTATGTACCGTTCGCGATTATCCGAGCAACAACGGGGTTCCAACATTACTCGAGGGGGGTCGCGCAGTTGTTTGTCGAGTTAACAACTGTATTCACGAAAGATGAATGGGTCCTCTAGTGCTCTCGTGTTGTGCAAATATAAAATGGAGAAATGCCTATTCAAAGTTCGTTCGAAGATTAATTGGAACACGCGACTCTGGCACGTTATTATATGCAGAGAGAAGAGAAAGAATTTGAAATGCCCCCGGGTACGTTTGAGCAAGCAAATTATAAAAATTACAATACCATTGAAACCGAGGACAATGTTAATAACCGTAGAGGCTATGAATAGATCAAAAGAATTGATACATAAATAAAATTGTTTTTGCTCAAAGTTAATCCACATTGTGAACATCAGAGAATATAGATAGATTTCAGAACGTGCGGTACAATGCATGTACTCGGGTGCAGAGTCCTTTTCTGTGAAGCAAACCAACGAACCACTTGTATTAAATCACGCTAGAGAGCGCTGGAAGCTACAGGAGTTCTACGGGTTGTCGAACGAGACTCACCTTCACCGAGAAGTTCTCTGAACCGACGCATAGTAGCCGATTGAAGTCTGGACTGGAGACGCTGCGGCATGTCCGATTTCCGTTCAATAGCTTGTTGAACCGCAGTTCCACGATCTCGTCGTGCTCGCCCTCGAATCGGTACACGCAACTGGAAAATCCGTTGAGCCTGCACTCGCGTCACTTAATCGAATTTATATGGCCGGTCGGTTACGTAAAGGAGTCTCTTTATCGATCGATAACTCGACCAAGAGATTTATGAGGAAACCGGTCGGCCAACGATGCTTCTCGTTCGTCAATTGAGACCATTCTCGACTACTAATCGCCAAATTCCAATACTACGGTAACTATTACATTATACGGCAATACTTATTTCTTATTTAATTTTTTTTATTTAAGAAAATTGAAAAAAGAAAAAATCGATACTTTCTAATCCAGATTTATAAAAGTCTCCCTTAATAGTATTATAATCGACTTATATTTATTAATTAGTAAAGGAAGCTTATGAACAGGGTTTTGTTAAAAGGGGCAGCGAGAAAAATTTTCCATAGCCATCCCTGAGACACGAGAGAGTCGACCAATAACAGCACCGGCAACAGCAGTCACGTGACTGATCACGCATGCGTGTCATAAATATTGGTGTCCGAATTCATTGGGACAACTACTACACATCCCTTTGCACCCTCATTCGGGATGTCACGCAATTATAATTACGAACAAAGTAAACAAACATTCGGGACAGTCTGTGACGCGTGAAACTCTGGCAATGGAATCCTATTTGAACGGCAAACACGAAAAATCAGGCTGCGCTTATCGACGGTAACGACCAACCAAATCCAGCGGGAAGACTGCTTCCGGAGAGAGGGGTCGTGTGAAAAGAGAAAGGTCCGACTGTGAAGGCGTAAAGTACATTTTATGATCTCATAAAGCACGACATCCGACTTAATGGTCGGCCAAGGGAATTTTCGTCTGGGTGGGATCGACGGACGGTAATGAATCGGCGAGTTCTCCCAAGGCAAGTTGGAGACTTCGCCGTTAGCGGCGCTACGGTCTGAGTTTGAACTTCCTTCCGGAAGGTCTTGATCGTACAGGTTAGGAGAACCTGGAAAATTGGACAGGTAAATAGTAGAAAATTTGTAATAGGTGAAAGGTTGATCGAAATCCTTTGAATTTGTTCTAGAGAGTACGAAATATCCGAAAGGACTGACAAAAGAAGACATTGGTGAGAATGAATTCTTCATATTTTCTACGACAGAGGCTACGAATTTCTGCTCCCTGTTAAAAATCTTTTCGTCCGGTGATTTGCAAAAAGATTCAAAACAGGTACAAGATTGAAATAAACCTGGAAAAAGGTAATTATGTGATGCGAGGTTTGTTCTTTTATAAAAATATTTCTCACGTTTAATACAATTATTTAAACCGATTTGTGATCATATTTTCAGCCCCAGACAGAAGTTGGAAGAGATTGGATTGTATAAAAAGGTGACGTATCGTGTCGACACTGTTGAAGGTCTTCGAAGAGAAAAAGGAGACTCTTCCTCTTCCTCTTTTTTCCACCCTCGATTCCGAAGGGGGTCGAGGAACTTCGCGATAGACGGTGAGAAGGGAAACTTTTAAAAAAAAAGAGAGCGAGAGAGAGGGGGAAGAAAAAGGCGCGCACACTTTCGTCGCGATGCACAAAGGGACTATTTACAGCCGGCTATCGCTTTTGCAGGTGGAACAAAGAGGCGAGCTGCTGACGCGCATCTCATTCGAAATCGCGGAATCGTTTGCGCGTAAAAGGCGCACCGTTCAAGCCGGATGCGGCCGGCGGAAAGAGAAAGAGTTTGTCCTCGTTAGGTCGCGCCGCCATTTTCTTCGAGCCGCCGTTCAAATGGACAGATCGCCGGTTGAAACACCTCCCACGCCTTCTTTCGTTCATTCGAAACCGTCTTCTCGCTGAATTTCAATAGATTCTACTGGTAATTCTTTTTTATTTAAATTATGCAAATGCTTTGTCCGGATTTATCATTTTTTAATATTCCTAATATTTTTCAGGAGCTCCTGTTCATTTCTGGTTTGCGTGCAGCTGTTATGGTGAGCACCGAATTAATATATATAATAAAAAACAAAAACAGTTGGAATTAGAACTAGATTTGGTTATTTATCCAGTTTTATCAAAATTACTGGATTAGATTTAGTACAATTTAGTAACTGATCTTCAAAATTTATGAAGAGTATTAACACTGAAAATTTTGTAAACCATCATAATTAGTTTTAAACATCAGTCTGTGATAGATTGTTTTTGGGTAACCTAACCTCTTAGGTGCGACATTCTTTTTCGTATAATACATGTTTTACAATGGAGGATTATCATCGTCAATAATTTATAATTATTTGGATAAATAATTATATAAAAAGCATTGAATACCCGTTTACAAACAACTATTTTACAACTGTTTTTGATGGATAGACAATAATGCAAGAATTTTGCTTCTATTATCTACGTATTCTCTATTTCTTGTTCGACAATTCGTTCTTATAAAATCTCCACCCTTCGCGTAAAGACAACAATGTAGATATAAGAGGTACATGGTGGATGAAAGTGCCTGAAGCGACGTAAATCTTCGCCCGGGCTATGGCGGACGCTCAGTGGTCCGATTTTCTTCTACCCTAGCCTTAAAGACATTACGGTATCGAGAAAGCGTCTCGAACAATAGCTAAGTAGTGGCAAGAAAGTAGACTCACCTCATATTTTTCGCGCCTCCGCGGCCATAAAGGAAAATATCGCGAGGTGCCTGGAATCTACGATCAGGGTAATGATCCCGATTGCGGCTGTAGAAGATCCTGGAACAGGGTCCGCTCCCGTAAGGATCTCCGTCCTGGTGAAGATCGACGAATTCATACAGCGCGCGGAAATTCACTGGCCTGTAGATCGGAGACAAATTTCGTGATCAGTGCAAATTCAAAGTACCTCTGTATCACGAATTAACCATTTTCCAACCGCTCAAAACCAATATCAATATACACCCAATTAGGAAAGAAGTTGAATTTATTCATAAAACGTTTGAAATTAGGCGATATAAAGACTGGGAGAGGATTCTACAGACAAAAGTAGGTAGTAAAGAAGGAATGACATTTTTCCATTCGAAGCTTCGTTTCCAGAGAAATTGAGCTCGAAGATTCGCGGGGTATGCATGCAGGCGGCCCACCCCCGCAACTTCAAACGCAATTTTCTTCGAAACGGAACCCTGTACGAGAAAACTTTATTCTTTATTTTCGACTCACTTTTATCCGTACAATAACCTCCATACCTCCCATTTCAAGATTACTCAAAATTAACGAAAAAATGGGACTCCATTGAACAAAATGCCACATGTATACGTTCGTTGTTATCCTTCAATACTCTTTTCATTTTGATTGCAGTCGGAGAAATATATCATATATCTGACGAGGAGAATGCCCTCATCATCGCCACTGGGATTGTAAAAATACCCGTGCGTTAAAAATACGCAATTATTCATCGAATCGCGTAACAGGGCATCAACGTTCGATATCATCCGGGGTAATTATCCCCGGCAGATTGTCGACGTCTGTCGCTTACCGTGGCACGTCGCAAAAGGGGTTATTTACATTTTATTTTTCACTCGAAGCCGACACGGGTGCCGCGTGTTCGAGCGTGATAGCCGTGCGGAACGCGGATGCGTCGCACGGTCTAATTAATCCTTTCCGCATGAAGCGACCATCCCTTTCCCCGGCCTTTATTAACCCGTTAAACGGGGCAATTTCTTGATCGTCACCGCCCCCCTTGTGCGGCCAATTAAAAAATGACCCATGCACGTACGCGAGCCCCGCCGTTCATCCTTTTTTATCCGGTCGCGCTCGATTTAATTGAACTCCGTCGATGGAGCTCCTATAATGGCGTATCGGAAAGGGATTTTCAACGGTGCGTTCATAAAGGGCGAAGGGATGGAAAGTTGCTCGAGAGGAATTATCTTCTTCCTTGTCTCTTCCTGGTTGCGCTCGAAATTTCCCCTTTATTCCGTGTAATTTCCATTTAGTTTCCAAATTTACTCCAAATTTAAATTATTCTACTGGCTTCTTTCAGTTCGGTCGTTCGTCGCTTTAACTAGGAAAAATTACAAGTGTAAATAATTTTTTGGAAAATGCTTTTAATATTTCTACAAATTTCTGTCGTCCGAAATTTATTTCACGCAGTAGTGTACGTACTCGTAATTTACGAAGCAAAATTAAAAATATTTTGAGGTTAGATTTAATTTTTAGGTTAGAATTGATGGAAATTTTCCTGGTTCCCGAGATCTTCGTTTAAAACTTTGGGTTTAATTCGAAATGTAATTTACCGGGGAAGGAAGATTCGCAGGACGAAGTTGGAATATACAGAAGAAAAAGCACGGGCATGGGACGGGATTCCGGCGTCCCTGTGACTTCCGGTGGGACGGTCGGAGGCAGGAAAAATCGCTTCTTATAAATAACTGATATTGGGGTAGTCGAGGCGGAGGAACGGAAGAAAAGGGGTTGACGGTGGAGGGTTGGTAGCGAAAACGTGCAAGTGCGGCAGATATTGCGCTGCGTCGCCATAAAACCTCGGCAATAACGTTCTGTATCGATTCCGCGAGCCCGGTGTCACGAGCAAATTTCGTCTGAATTTATATTCAAAGCTTTCCATCCCTCGAGCCAGCCGAGAGGGACGAAAAAAGGAAGGCGGGCCGGGCAAGTGGCACGAGATCTCGCGATACCGGAACTTCAACCTCTGATTCCACCGTGTCTCCGAGCTTCCTTCGTTTCGAGTTTCGACTTTAATTCGCTTCGCCAACTTTCCGCCCCTTTGACTCTCTCGTTCGGTCTCCTTAAACGCGAGCCGATTGAAAGGGAGTGAAAACCCAAGTTTCAGCGGGTTAAGGGCTGGAAAAGAGACCCCTCTCACCCTTTGATCCTTTTCACTTCGTTTACCCTCGATAACCTTCGCTCCTCCACCGGTGAAATTACAACAAGAAATCTTCCTTCCGTCATACATCGTGTTCCAAAAGTCGCAGGTAGCGATTTTACGCGATAAAATAAGTTTCGCAAGGAAGAATAACATTTTCTGCTTTATGCTTCCGTTTTTCAGGCAAATAGGATTCAAAATCTTTGCGCTATGAGTATAGCAATTGTTTCGTGTTTATAAATGTTAGGTTTCAGAAGAAATATAATTGTGGAAAGAAATCATGCAAATTTAACAATGCAGGCACGCTCAAAAGCCACAGTTCGATGAGTCGAATCATCCAATAATTACAATCGATATAGTAAAATTAGCCATTAAAATCAATATAGCCAAATTTCAATTTCAAGGGTTGCAAGATTTTCAAATCGAATTCCCGCCAAAACGGAGACCCGCACGAAAAACTGTTATTCTTTTCATCGGACTGATTATTCCAAGTGGAATCATTACCGAACAGGGTATAAGGCAGGTGCCCCTTACGGTCTGCAACCAGCTCGTTCACTTAAATACCTAAACGAGCCGTGCTCCGAGCGCCGATCACTCGAAATGATCTCGCGAAAGCCTCCGTGAAAAGTCGGGGCCAATAAAAGCTCGTTTCCCGCGGATGATATTTCCCGTGAAATCTCTTTACATCGCCGCTCGAGAGAAAACATAATACGCGGCCTGTGTCGATCGATAGCGCTCACGTGAAACAACGGTGAACAAAACGGCACGCGGCCTGTAATTGAAACGGAAACCGCTTTTTTTCCCCTCTTTCCCGCTCTTTGTTCGATCCCACCTCTTTTCATCTTCCCTTCTTTTTTCCCTCTTTTTTTTTTTTTTTTTTTTTCTCCCCCGCTTCGAGCAATCGAGTTACACTCGCCTGAGTGCCGTCGACTCGACCATCCGCATCTCGATGGTCAGGCTGCTCCCGCTGGAAACGAAGCTCTCTCCGAGGGAGCAGGGGCGACTGGTGTTCTGCAGGATCGCGTGGTCGCAGGTTCTGGGCAGCCTGTCCTTGCAATAACGCGCCAGGAGGGTGGTGTTCCCGACTGGACGGGCTGCGAGAGGGTGCGCTGGCGCCGCGGACCTGTCTCCGTGCTGCTGGTGCTCCTTCTCGCTGTTCCCCTCGCTGTTTACGTTTCAATGATTAGAGCGGATTAAGCAGACTCGGGTGAGCGACGTTTGCTCGATGGAATTTCGGTTTGGTGGTGTGTAACGTGTCCACGAGAACTTTGCGCATGCTTCTCTGCGAATTTCAAGAGGATTCAGAGTCTCTCGAGCTTTGTCAATTTTCTTTTAACACTTTGAAAAGGACGCCGTGTGTTTGCGAGAAGAAACGAGAATGTGTGACGATGGAAATGATAAAATTATCTTTTGCTGGGAATGTACAGTGTCCATGTGAACTAAGAAAGAAGTTAGGAGTACAGAGGATTGTGTTGTTTAAAATGTCCGGTTAATTGCTGACCTATTCTACTTAAAGAAACGGAATAGGCTATTAATTCTTCCTTGGTGAATGGGAGTTTGGTGGCAAAAATTAAAGGCACATAGAGTATACGATAAATTGTTGAAAAATAAATAAATTAAAGAAAATTCTTCGCATAAAGGAATATCTGAACAAAGTTGATAGATTTGAGCTAAGAGGACTGTGTTACTTAAATGCCTGGCCAATGACTGACCTATTCGACTTAAAGAAAAGTGATCAGTCATCGATTGTTCCTTTGTGGGTGACAAGAATTGGGATATCTGAATAAAGTTGACAGATTTGAGCTAGGAGGACTGTGTTACTTAAAGCGTAAATCCAATGGCTGACCTGTTCTACTTAAAGAATTGATTATCAATTTTTCCTTCGTGGGTGATAGTTGCGTGACGTAGAATACAGGATGAATAATTGAAAAACAAATAAACTAAAGAAAATTTTTTCATTCCAGCTAACAAGCAAGAGTATGATACACCGTTACATCCCAAAGTGTTAAATAGCGAATCCTCCAGATAAAGGATCCAAATTGCAAAGTTCTGGAAACACGGGAATTCTATTCGTAAATCATCGAGACGTCCGTACAGAAATTTCTCTGGCCAAAGGACAAGCTCCCCAAAACCTCTTTACACACTCCAGACCTCCACCGAACTCTCGAGCAAGTAAAACGAAACTGCACCAGGCAAGAAGATCCGACAGCAGCATCGCGTAACAAGAAAGCAAACTCGGCTAAACAGAAGCAAACACGAGAATCGTGCAATCCAGGCGTTGATCGTCCAGTTACACAGAAACAGCGCAGACTCAGCGCGGTCTATAGCGGAGCTCACGAATTCCGGTCGGTCAGGGGTAATTCGGCAGTCTCACCATCGCGTACACTCGGTGGAAGAAGTATAACGAGACCGTAGGACCTGCCAGGCATCGAAGTTCACGTGTTCCACTGCATCGACCAGGGAATTCGCAGAAACTTGAGGAAACGAGACCTCCGAACCGCAGTCAGGACTTAGCGCAAGCATATCTCAGCTGCAACTCGGTCTCCGGTGTACAATGCGGAATGTTGTATGAGATTCTGAATATTCCTTCGTCAATCACAGTTGCTACTTCGAATTCTAACACAGACTCTCGATGTACTTCTTCCAGAGCATCTAGTATGTAGATTCTCTCGAGTACCACGAGAAGCATTCTCAACTCGATCTTGCTAATGTGTCTGACTAGGATTCGAAGTTCTAATTTCTTGTCTGTTCGTTGTGATAAATATGTCAGGATGACTGTAGGGAACGAGATGGTTTACGAACACTGAGTAACTGACAGGCAATGGAATTGTATAAGGGTACGATTGACCAAATTTCTTGCGAGTTGATGATAAATTACTGACAGGAGACATTCTAGATAGACAAAGGTTGCATTGGTCACAGTATAGGTCCCAAAATTCACGCAAGATTCGAATTTCGCGCCATTCGTGCAGTAAAGCGGTGACAACGAGAAAAGGAAGACTGTGTGACAGATGACAGCTCAGGGTTACTAAAAGTGGAGCGTCACGTGAAAGAACAACGCGTCCTCGTTGTCGATCAACATTTATAATTTTTAATTAAAAATCTGTGGTCTCGATCAGAATTACTTCTTTGGGACACCCAATGTAATAGGTTCATCTCTGACTTAATCGTGAGAATAGGTGATGCAAATTTGCGTTATGGTTTAAATGGTTGGCCAATAGTATTGCATTACAGCATACGGAGAGAATGAATGGAATAGGTGGAGTCGAAATGGGTTACAGCCATAAAGCAAACGTAACTGAACCTAGCACTATGTCAGCATACGTCATCGGGAACCCAAAAGCGGGGTTTCCAGGAGCATTGTAGTTGGAGTCGAGTGGAACGAACTGAGAACGGAGGAAATCTGATCATAAAGATAGAATTTTCGTTATTACCCGGAAGTGCATAAATCGGATCATATAGCATAACGCGTGTCATCATTCATCGAGTGAGATAAAGCAATAAAGCACGTAGACGTAGTTCGACTATCTGCACTCGTATCTGAAGCCGTCATCACATCACTGTATATTACGCAGAACTGGGAGCTTAATCTTGCCAGAAGTATCAAAGTATCCTGCCTCATAATTTATCAGCAACTGGGTACAGCAAAACCTAAACTCCCGAACTATACCCATACTTTGGGACATAAAGCTCTCTTTAACCCAGGCCTGACCGAAACTCCCGTAACACACCTGGTCCCAGGGATATAAAGATTTCCTCAACCTGGACCTAACCTAAATTCGTGAACTCTGCTATAACAAGCATGATTAATCAAGGTTAACCGACCAGGCTAGGTCGTAGCACTCTGACAGTGGCATCATCTCGCCGTCCCACACCATAAGGGTGGTGGAGCAGTCTTCGTCGCTGGTCGACAGGCTGGTGCCCACGTGGAACTTGAGGATGGACAGCCACACGCGGAACTGCGGCTGCGGTGGCCTCGGTGCAGGCCTCCTCCACACGGTGCCAGGCCTCTGCTCGGGAAATTTCGGCAAGGGACGAGGTGGCGTCGGACTGGGTAACATTGGACCAGCTCCTCGTAGGTGGTACAGACACGTGCTGTTCCGTGGCAGAGAGTGCCGTGGCGAGACCAGAACTCCACCTCCACTACCCTGCAGCCAGAACTCGCAGTGCTTGTCCTTCGCGTACGTCAGCGAATCTACGTCCACGAACTTCACCTGTAAGTACAGTTTATCCGACATTTCTCTTTGGCATTCTCAATTCGTAACGAGTTCTTATTAACTTGCTCGGTGTATTGCGTTCTAGGCTTGCTACGTTTGGTTATTCCTCACGTTTCGGATATTCATCAGCCCGGGAGGTGGATTAAGAGGAAGAAGGAAAACTCGAGGAATTTTTATAGCATCGGTATTCGAGACTTCGCTTTGGTATACAGTGCCTTCATCTTCGACGTCCCGACTATGGCTACTGCAGAAGAGTTTCACTTTGATGGAGTCGTGTCGTGAAAAAGGCATCGAGAGGAAGAGAGCAGCGTTTTATAGCGTTTCCTTTAAAAGCCAAGAGCTTATTCTCAGCACTATACTGTCCGATCTCTTAGGATTTTCATCGTGACGAAGAAGAAGAAGAAGAACAGAGGAAGATTCTTGTAGGAATTTTTACAGCGTCCCATTGAGGACCTGCCAATCCTCCAATTTTTCGCTGTCATTTTATTTTGGGCGCACCAGTGATTATTCAGCTCCCCAGGATGTTCATCCGTCGACGAAATCGTTATGATAAAGGAACCGTGGAGGAAGAAGGAGAATTCATTAGTCACTCTCTAAAGGTTTCATCGCGATGTAAACCGTTGTGAGAAAGAAGGCAGACGAAGAAGGAGGAATTCGCCGGTTGTGAAATTCATTACTCACCCTAGAGAAGATTCATCGGTATTAATACCCCTTAACCCTTTGGCAAAAAGAAAAAGGAATCGAAGGATGAAGAGGAGAAGGAGCCCCTGTTCTAAAATTCATTATCCCGGGCTGGGTTGGTCGTCGCAGTAGAAAACCGTGGTAACGATGGCCGCCTCGGCCATCCATTTAAATGCGATCCGGGAACCTAGGTGGCGGTAGTGCGCCACCGTGAGGTGTGAAGCACGCTGTTCCGGACCCGTGAATGTTTGAACAGAATTACCACGTACTTGCACTTCTAATTGAAAGCCGTGGAGCGAGTGTGGCGGCGTCGGGTGGAGAAACGTGCCATAAGGAGACGTGGTGAACTCGACCAGGATCTCGGTACCGCTGCTGGTGGCTTCCGGCACAGGTTCGCCACCTCCGCAGAATTTCAGGATCACTGGGTCCCGGGTCGTGTAGCCGTCGTACACGGTCACGTAATCCTGTGGGGAGAGATGCAGGATCCCTCTTGTAATTCCGTTAGCATTCGATGGGAGAAAAGAGGCAACAAAGGATGACCACGTGGGTCATGGAATTTTTTACTATTTTTTTTTTTTTAGGGGGGAGAGGATTAGGTTAATCGTACCTGTAATCATGAGAGTGATCTATGACGCTATTTACTTTGGGTTATAGTTATTAATACTGAGGATAGGATACGTTAACTTTTAGTCCTTGTATTCAAGAGGCGATCCTTTTAATCAGTCACCACTTAATTAAATTTCAAAAATTGGTGTTAATTAATATATCAAAATTTCGTGTTTATTGTTTCAAAAATGTCGTCAATTTTGCAGCAAAAGTTTGTAAGAAAATTTTGAATTAGGCTGATCGAAGAAATTTTTCAGTCGTTTGCAGGTTCGTTTTAGGGCTTCTAAATTAGTATAATTGAAAGGGGGATAATCAACCCCCTGCGCTCCACATTAAGGCCTATTTTAAGAAAGAAGAAAATCATTTCCAAATACTTACTTTCAATTTATTCTTTTTCTTTTCGTAATTTCGGAATTTTCAATTTCAAAATGTCCTGCACCTTTTTAAATCATTCTCCCAGCAACGCGTTCTACCAATTTTGGAATTAATTTCACCCATTGGAAGGATTTATTTTCGCGAGACGAGCTTTAAATTTTCGGGAAAATAATTAACGAAATGTTTCATTCGTTGGAATCTATGGTGCCAGTTCGAACGTACTGAAATACGTCCGTAAACTTTCGCGCGTTTCGGTGGCATTGGCCAGGATCCTCGCATTATCTTCCTTATCTAGTCTGGCCCCATAGTCTGCCAATAAATTCTGCTTATCAACTTAGACCACACGGCGTTGCCTTCATCCCCGATTCGAATTTAGTTACTATCCTCTGCGGATCGATAAATTTGCCAAAGGGCTGGTGATTTAAGAAGCACACCCGCTGGAATTACTACGCTAGAGCAAAGGCTGTTCAGCCTCATCGATGCCACGCGATCATATTTCCCATGCTGGCCAACGAGTTTATCTCGATTCGTGCAATTCTCGTTCCACGAAATTTCGATACGCACCTGGACCACGTCGCAGTCCTTCCACAGACGAAGTTCGCGAGGTGATGTCTCGACCTGGGTCGCTGGTCTCGATCTTATGGCCACCAGTTGGCCCCGTGGCTGTCTCACCGAGATTAACGCATGTTTCCCGGGTGGCACGTCGTGCTGTCTCACCTGTATCACACGATTCAGACGGAGGATGCTTAAAAATCTTTTAATCCCTTTCACCTGATCAGTGTTTTATTTAACGCTGGCTTCCAACGCGAATAGGGGTTGAATTGTAAACAACCGGGAAAGGGGTGATATTGCATGCAAAAACGAATCGAGAAAGAAGAATACAAATTTTTGATTCGAAGCTTCGTTTTCGAGATAATCGACTTTGAATATATATATAATTAGTTTGTAATATCTCACCTTACTCCATTTTCTTCGAAATATTTCGTATTTAATATTTAATAATTGATAACCCTTGTTCAAGTTTGTTAATATGAAATATTAGTATCCCTGTGATTTTTTAATAATACTGAGAGGTCGTTTAAAATTGTCAGGCACTAAATATTCATAAAATAGTAGTAATTTATTATACCCATCCACTCCAGAAAAAAGAAAGGAAGAAAAAAGAGGAGAAAGGAAATGTATGGATCTCTGGGCCGGAACAGTATATTTATTAACCGAGTGAATTATGTTCAGAGCAGGGTAGTAAATCCAATTATTTCCCGATCAGAGCACTCCCACGATTGTGCATTTTCGATCGAACGACTCTGGCAGAAACATAAACGTTTACACACCGCTGTACACGATATCCTACATTTTTACGATATACTAACGTCGAAGAAAACATCGTACTATCTACGAAACGCCACTGGGGTGCCATTTAACGTCAACCGACCCTGCTCCTCCCATTTAAAGTTTAACTGGTCTCTTTAGCACGTATTCCAGACAACGCGATATCCTTCGTTATACAGCAGGAAGTCTACAGTTCCGACTGCCGTCGAAATCGTACCAGGACAAGAGCAACTTCCGGTTGGAGTGGCTCGACGAAATTTTAGTCCCGGTATCGAAGTGTATTTAGCGAGAAAGTCGGCTTTAGTGGCCAAACGGAGAATAATGGTCCACGGGCTGTGCACCCACGACGTAGCCTCGTAAATTTTCGTCGGAATGCCAAACGTTGTTCTCTTCGTTTCGAAAGCGACCCTGCGCATCGACCCGTTCAATTTGCTCGGACCCGTCGCGATTTCGCGGTGAAATACGGCTTCTCGGATTACCGGATACGTTTTGCGTGTCGCTATCAACGTTCTACACCACCCTCTCTCTTTCTTCCTTCTTGGCTCCAGAGAACGGACAGCTTTGTTAATATTCATTAGTGGTACGAGGATTCCGAGCAGCGAAGATTGAGATTTTCTCCCGATTGCTACTCGGTGCAAATCCGTTGTACTCGTGTTTGTTTCACAAGGGTTCTTTTCTAGGTTAGGTTCGACGCAATTCCATTTTGTCCATGCAATTTTGTTTCTGTTTTTGTGGGTTTGGTGTACTTTTTCTGGATGTACTGCATCATCGATAGCTAATTTCACGAATTCTTTATGGATAGTGAGATATTTCAACACCAAATTTGGAGAATATAATTTCAGTTTTGAATGAAATACTATTAAGGAATTTAATTTTGATCGTCTTTTGTATTTTTTCTGGATGTGCTGCACCATCGATATCCAATTTCACGAATTTTTTTATGGATGATGGGGTATTTCAATACCAAATTTGGAGAAGACAATTATAGTTTTGGATGAAGTACTATATTAAGCAGAATTCAATTTTGCTCAAAGGAGATATTTAGTGGAAAGTATATATAAAGTTACGAATAAATTCGATATTATTAAAGTACTTAAAGAGAACAATAATTGTTATGTAGTTCCCACCCATTCTACCTAATAATTCGAAAATGACTTGGAAATGTTGCACTAGAGCTTCTACTAAGTTAAATATGGAATAAAATTCGAAGAAAAATTGGAAAAACAATTTATCCAGTTTCGAACTCTGATTAATTTCGTGGTAGTCGGATACATTACACGCTATGCTACTTCGCTTGCTACGGTTATCTTATATTTAATTAACCTTATATTACATTCCCACCAATAATACACCATTACAACAATATTTCTATATTTCCTCAAAGAATTTTTATCTTCTATCCTAAGCTATATTCTGTATCATAAATTTATTCGACAATATGTCACACGAACAAAATTTTACGAGAAATTTCTGACAAAGAAAGTTTTCATCTATAATTTGGATTTTCGGTCACGGAAGGAAAGCCAGCGAAATTCATGGCGCTTCCAAGGGTTACGTAAACATCAGAAACCGACCCATTTCCGGCCAAGAAACCACGTCCCCTAGAGCGACATCTCGCTCTAACTTCATTCTTCCTACGGACAGCTACATAAATTTTCAAATAACTCGGTAAGAAAGCCGGTCGCTGGAATCGTCGCCGCGGTCTGTTCACTGACAATTTATGATCCCGTATTCGAGCTTCACGGTACAGGCTAAGTAACAATGTCACGAGGGTTCGAGCACTCGTGCGAACAATTTTCCAACTCGATACAAAGTATCGCAGGAAAGGAAATAGAAACGGCGAGTATCATCCAGCTTAACCATCGTAAGAAAAGAATCCTCCAACTACCCTCATATAACCCCACATGGGGCTATGAAATTGCCAAGCCTAGAGCTTTTATCCGTTCATCTAATAATTCTCTAGGGGAACGATTTCCCAATCCGCGGAGAAATATTACGTGAAGTAAAAAGATAATGGAGTGGCGGGAACTTCTTGCACGGATTTCCTCGGAGAAGCATTTCCCGTGAAATCATTTTTCGAGAGTACCTTGCCCGTCGAGTGAAAAATCCTTAATGCATTCCCCGAGAAACGATTTTTCGATACGAAATATGATAGACGACGAAAAGAGGTTATTCAAAGCTAGGAATCTCCCTTATCGACCGCGAGTATAGAAGAACTTCTGAAAGAACTTCGTTGGGAATGCGAAAGGGGATCGTGAAATCTTTTCGTATTATTCCATGCTGTTTCGTGTTTACGGTAGTGGTTATTCGAAAGTTTTTGGTAGGTTGGAAGATCTTCTGGAGACTTACCACATAATAGCAGGTGAGATTGCGCGGGTACAATCCGGGAAAGTTGGGCGACTGTAGCCTGCACTTCTTCTGGTCGCAGTCGCTGAATATGCGGGAACAGTAGGTGCCGGATATCAGGTCCCCGAGGTATTGCTCGCTACTTGGTTTCGTCGTGGTCGATGGATGCTCCACCATCTGCACCGGCATGGCCATCGAACTATTCGTGTAGTCGCTCGAGGACGTCAACAGTGTTGGTTCTGTCGACGTTGGGGGCCCCGTCGTTTGTGTTATTGCTGTAATCGTAATTCCAATTATCCTATTATCTCATTCTATCATGGAATATTTTCTAAAACTATACATCCATATTTCTTTCTAATTTTATTTCGTGTCAATAAGTAACCGTATTGAATATTCTAATTTAATTAGAACTTCCACGTGTTTCTAGTAATTTTCATCAGTATTTCTCGTATAACGTATAACAAACTAAATTCCTGTTATATATAATTATTACTGTATATATAATTATATACTGTTACTGTAGTAAATGTAATCTTTCCGCTTTTTAGAAATTTTTATTAAAAATAATTGGCTCAGTCGGTAACATTACCGACCGGTTGAGTCACGTGAGGAGCAGGTTGCGAAATACTACAATGGCTACCGTTGTTATGAAAATCCAGCTGCATCATCGTATTCTCTCAACCTGAACCTCCATTCCCCATAGTGTTGGAATCAAAAGAAAAGAAACGAACCATAACTAAATCCGTCTCGACTTAATTCCCGGCCCAGAACCCCTCGAGCAACGGGACTCGATAATCTCGAGCACAGAGCTGGAACCACGTTGTTTTGAGAAGCATCCAGCTTATGCAAAGTGCCATCTCGTCTCACGACAAAAGTTATTAACCTAAGAGCATCACTGGCGAAACAAACCGGTAAAAAGTGAAAGAAGATCCTCGACTACGTACCAACGAACGGATTCCCATAGCGCACCACGGCGTCCGACTTCCTGATCATCTTGTACGCCATCCTGAAGTCGAAATTGAATCCCGTCTGATCCTTGCTGAGCCTGAACAGCTTCAGCGTGATGGAGACACTCTGGGTCTCGCTGTAGTAAATCGCGGGCCCCATGGACGTTCCGCACCAGAGGCCGCCCACGTCCGGTCGTTGGGCCTCCGAAATCTGCAGAGACCCGTCAGGGCAGCCCTTCGCCGTGAACGACACGAATTTCCCTAGGGTGAAGCTGTCGAACGTCAACTGCAATCGAGAGCGTCAGTGACGCTGGTCAGAGTTGGCCAACAACCGTAGTACTTTTTCTTTCATTTATTTTTAACCCGACAAATGATTTTATTTAATTTCCTATTTATTCATTTAATCCGATAAATTACTTTTTGTTTATTTAATTATCATTCTTTCGTATTTAAATTTAAATCATTCTATTTTATTTTGTATTTATTTTAGTATTATTCTTTTTTCATTTAATTTGATCTATTAATTTCTTCATTTTTTAGGTATTTTTTTTTATTTTATTTAAATAGTTATTATACGATACAGTTTATTTTTGTCTTTTTCTTATTTTCGTTGAATTTGTTGGATTCTTATGTTGGTCATACTGGTGGCGTTCTTATATTTCTTTCACGAAACTTTTCGACTTCGGATAGCAATAAAACTAGCTTAGCCTTCGCTGTGGGTATACCTGAGAGATATCGATTAGATATCCGTTTGTTTAATGCTTGCACCGGTGATATTTCCCCTTCGAAACTTTCGACTTGGAGCGTGGCTGGTACTACGCTAAATAATAATGACCGGAAATGGGCCATTTTTATTCCTTCGCTACTATGTGTTGTATACAGCGAGTCACGAAGGTATCCGTACATTCCCAATTGCATATAAATTCCCAATTCCCAATTCCATACGATCACTAACATCTCTTCGCAGCATGAATTCTAAAATTCTTATCTTCTTATTAATTTTTTACCTAAATTGTGCTTCGAAGATCCTAAATTTTTGTACCGGAATGTACAATTAAATATTGACCAATTATTCTGTCCAATACGATTAGGGTTTTTGAGGTTAGGTTCGGGTCATACGTATCTGCCATTTTATCCGATTCAGTAGTTTAATCTTAGCATGAAACGGACTGCATTGATTAATTATTATCAATTGAAATTCATTAATTCATAATTAAAAATTTATGTTTAGTCACGCGAAACCATACGAGGTTGATAAAGTAGAATACCAGAGTCCCGATATTATCGATTAATATCGATAAATCACGCTAGGGTGCGCCGTAGTCACACGTGACTTTGACATCTAGTGATCTTTTATTAAATATATGTCTTTAATGAATTTAACCCAGGTATTCAATACTTTTGCGACAATATACGTGCAATCGGTTACTCGATTTCTCCTTCTTCATCTAATCTCTTACATCTACCGTGTGAGACAACCGACAGCAAGAAATTTAATATAAAAACATCGACGGTCCTCCTCCATTTGCATTTCTCGAAACGCAGATCGGCGGAGTACCGAACAGCCGAGTCGAGCCGAGCTTTTCATCAATTCCAGTAATGTGGTGTCGTAGAAACAGCCGACGTCGGGTCAGACTCCTTTGATAAAAACGGTAACGAAAGTTTTCGGTGGCTAGGGAACGCTGTTCGGGAACGCTTTGCCCCAGCTAACTGACGCGATCCTAGCAATTTGCGTTATTAAAAATTCCACCGTTAATTCTTGCTCCTCCGGCAGCCGCGGTTCCGCCATGTTTTTCCCTCCAATTCCCTTTCTTTCCGTCTTTCTTTTCTCTCTCTCTGTGTTTCTCCTCCTCCTCTTTTTCCCTTCCTTTTTTGTATCGCTTTTTTATTTTTCCCCAAGCTTGTTTCAGCTCCTCCAGGGTTGGAAATAAAAACGTTTTCATTTGCTGGCTTTTTTTAAATTCAAATTATAGCGTGATTTAGTGGGAAGTTTAGTTCTAGGGGAAATGAAAATTTCTTTGGTGGAAATTCGATTCCGTTCAGACGCGCTAGATGTCACTGGCTCTTTATTTGATTATCTAGTCTACCATTCGGGCTGTATCAACTTGAGACACGGTTTAGGTTAGGTTCCTCGTCGCGCGAGATAATCAAAGGGACTTTTGGGAACTTGCCTGCACGATGTCGCCGAAATCGCCACCAGGTGCGCTGAAGGTGAGCTTGCAAATGTAAGGCACCTTATCCTCCTTTGGTCGATGGAGCTCCAGGTCGTAGGTCTTGCCCACGTCTCCATAGTACGTCTTATTGCACGCTGAAACACGAGAGAGCATAATCTTATAATTTTATTTCGAATAATAATTTATTTCGCAATTTTTAATTAACCGCGATAGAATTTATTATGTCACCCTATATAAAAGAATCATCGAAAAGTGGAAACTCTTCGTATAACCCTAACCTAATTCGAATCTAAAAATTTTCGAGCCAAACGACTAAGGTTCTCCTCCATCACTATTATTCGCAACTATGAATCAAAGATGCAAGCTCGATTTAACGCGGTGGACAAAAATCTCCAGCCAAATTCCCGTGTAATCGCTACTGCAGTCTCGATCAAAGGGTTTATCGAGGTCGATTTCGAGGCCGACCGGGCAGAGAATCGACGGAGGTGCCGGATGAATTATCGATGGCCGCAGGCTGCTTCCTGCTCGATCGTTTTCCTGAGAAAAATTCGATTCGTCCGAACCTCGGCTATTTCCAGTTAAACGGAGAACACTGGCCCTCCATCAAAGTCCATCCCGAGGAGGAACGTACTCTCCGGTGCTCCTAACTCGCGTATAGCGTGTATCGATCACGCGTTTATCGAGGGTAATCATCGAGTTAGCCTCGAAAGGCCACGCTTGGATTCGAATAACCTTCCCTGGTGGATAGCTCGATGGTTTTTCAAACGTATCCAATTGTACATCCAGAGGACGTATCGTCTCGTCATTGGTTCCTCGATGAATCGGGTCTATTGTACGTGCAGATTTGTTTCACGAGGGTTGTATTTATACGAGGGATTAAAGCAGTGTCTCTAATTGGTTTCATTTCGGTATAATTACGGGATAACATGGCGCATTTATTTTTAAATTACCGACGAATGTCGGTGAATTTTAATGGCCACTAGGCGAATGCGCTGGATTTTAACTCGATGAATGGCGCATACAAACTGTGATACTTCCCCTGAACTCTGTCGCGCCACGTGTTGGTTAATGGAACAGAGTTTGATTTAATTTTCACCCGTGTACGTTCATAATCACCTCTACTACGATGAAACGAAACGCGATATTTAACGTATTTATGAATAATAAAATTCGATGAATTTATTATCCCGTAGGTTCCTCTGCGAAGATTTTTCCTTCCAACTCCTATCAACACGTCGAATTTCGTATTTGAGCACGATGCTTTTCGCTGAAATTATAGGTGCACTCGGTATATTATCATATGACGTGGCATAATATTAACATTTGACAGACTGAGCTTGTCATGCCATGCAAGAACCGTGCATTTACCAGTCATACGAAAGTGGACTAAGTAAAAAGCCGAAAGAAAATAATTCCATACCATCCTGGTAGAGCAAAGTACTAAAGTAGACTAATCTTTGGTGAAATGATGAATTTATGCCATATTTAAAATGCAAACTTTGAAATATTTTCAAACGAAACATACATCACTTAGACCATTTTCATAACCATTGGTGTATATATAAACGTGCTTTTATCTATATCGTACGTATGATATTTCGAAAGCACGTGTGTAATTTTGGTTTTCTGAAAAATAAATAATTTCCAGTTTTGGGTATATCATGGTGCATTGGAATCTAGGTTCTCCAATTTGTTGATTGAAATGAGAACGTGGTGAGCTACGATCGATTAATATTCCACGAATTCCTCGTGGATGGCGGGTCCGCCATTGCGGTGCCATAATCGTTGAAAGATTTCCATCGTGTGTTTCAAAGGAAACCGAAACTCGCCCGCCGATTAAGTTACTTTGGCTTCCTCTATCGCATGCTCCGTGCAGAATTACATTGTGCAGGACGGCTGGGTTACAATACTAGTTCATTGTGGGGCTTCAAGGGCTCATCATGCACGTATATATAGGATGGGAATCGAGGCTAACGTCGGTGGTGGGCCAACACACATACACGCAAAAACATACACGGACACGCTATCGACGGGGTGAATGGGTCGGGAACACAATGCACGCCATTTCCAGGCACCGGGGTCTCATTCCTAATCAGAACCCCAGTTTGCCTGGCTAATAGCGCACCTGAAATCTGGTCACCTTGTCTTCCCTGTGGCGCAACTTGCCCGATGTAACTGGATTAACTGGCCAATTTTCAGCGTCCATAGGTTGGACTAGAAACGTTTGATCTATGCTTGTTTCGTTTGATGAGGCTAGAAACTTGACTGACTGAGATTTTCACACTACCCAACACAAACTGAAGTTACACACCTGTAATAACTAGCTATACATATCGTATAACATATGTCGTATAATATGGACAATATAATATATATTATATATCACATAATGTAGAAAATATAATATATACTATACACATAATATACTATATTAATATATAATATATTATATATGTTATATATCAATGATAATTGTAAATAATAATAAAATTTCCATCTCAATAAAAGTCAGGCTTAATTTTGTCAATGGTAGTTGTATATTATCAGGAATTGCAAAAATGAAAATGAATTGTCCCTCCTTATAGTTCTTATGTTAATATTATGGCAGTATCATGACACTGTTCTAACAATTATTTTTAATTTTGTTGTTGTACTATTTTGTCTCTTTTATTGTATTATTGTTCCATCACTCATTGGTATTTTATGCCAATTCTTAATATTTATTTTTCTTTTTCCCTTTTCTCATACGCAGAAAAGGCTTTCCTATGCTTTAGATTACGTTTATTAAGATTTTAATTATGTTTATTATTTGCAATAATTTTTAGAGGAGGTCGATGTGTCTTTTGGGATTCAGAAGCGATTTGGTAGGAATTTGGCGAGCAGAATTATTTATGAGGAATAATGGATTGTATCCAATTTTCCAAGAAATATTCTGCAGCGTCAGGTTCGCGAGAAATTTAATTTCAGCATTCGAAATCCGCGAGATACCGCTTGGTCCCAGCTATTTGGCTGTAGAATTCCCATTGTCGCCTACATTCTTGATATAATGTCCGGTTGTGATCATCATACGAATTCCCGCCTTATTTTCCACTGGTGTCCCAGCTTCATTAAACTCTAATTCTGACCGCTGCGGTTAGTTTCTCTTGATTATTTGTCTCCGCGAATAAATTGGAACAGAAGTGGCTATTTAGTGACAAAATTAGAGATCTAATATTCAGAATGTTTATAACAGATGCTACAAAATACCTTGTGTGGCTGGAAATAACAGAAATATGGAACATTTGTACAGGAGTTGCAGTGGCTAAGTGGATAGTGTCAAAAGACTACACGCAAATAACCAGGGTTCAAATCTCCAACTAACCAGTTTAGATTTTTCCTCGGATTTTTTTCATTGGATAGGCTGAAAGAGGCTCACTTTCAAGGGAAAATGGGAAATTTCGGAAAAATTTGAAAAATTTCCTAGAAAAAAAACCTAAAATTTCCTTTCCTAGTTGACGAGAAATTTGGAAAATTCAGGTCACTTCATAGGGTGCGAAAAAATGGGAAATGTGGAAAATCTTCTGTTAAAAGAAGGAGGAAACTTGGAAAATTTCTGTACATATCCTAGAAATGTGAGGAAAATGTGAAAATATTCCAGAAAGTGTAGAAAAAGTCGTCGGGTTCAACGGATAATGCATGAAAATTGGAAACGGGAGAGGAACATTGTGTAGAAAGACGAGAAGAATGGAAAATTCGGAAAAAGGAGAAGAGTTACCAACTATTTCCCGCTATAAGTTCGGCTCTTTGGAACAATCGGCCCCGGTTGTAATTGAATATACGTCGTCGTTAGGTTTAATGACAGGATTCGCTATCGGAAACCGATAGTCGACCGGCCGCCTCTGCCGAAGTATTACGAATTCAGCAGGTGCATCTGTTACGTCAAATTACGAAAGTTCCCGGAGGGAAGCTGCTTGCCAGCATCTCGGCTGCGTCTCCCACGTCTGACTAATGACTGGCATCAACTACTTGGCTGCATTTCGCCTTGCCGGATATGCGTTTCTCCCCGTGGTGTCTGGCAATGGTGTCTGACGAATTATGGGCTTTTGTCACTGTTCAAACGCAGTCAGCTATATGCGCACAGACAGGTCGTTTCTCTCGAAGCAGAGGCCAAGAAGGAACGAAAGAAATAAAAGAAAGAAAAAGGAAGTAAAGTCTTTTTGGAACGTCGCGATTCATAATACCTTCTACATCTCTCGTTTCCCCCACTTCTGCCCCATTTTCATCTACCCTGTCTTCCTTATCTTACACTCGTTTCCCTTTGTTTACCAGCTCCGCCGATATACCCTCGTTTGTCTCGATTCCTTCGCCGATTTTTCCGTTTGTTCTTGCCAAAAACTGGCACGGATTCGTCCCTCGCCCCATTTCGAGTAATTCCAAAACGGTTAGAACGTCGAGGCCCGGGCCTGACCCACTTTTCACCCAGATTCCTCGTACTCCGTTGTGATAAATCTTCTCTCTGCTCTGCACCCCGTTGCGGGGTTATATTTTATTACGCAATAAAATATGAACTCCTAGCGCAGAGTGCTTCTCCATTTATCGCGTCGACGATCACGACAGCCAGCGGTGCGCGATCCTAAATCACGAGACTAACAGGCTGACTTCCGGATTTCGACAACTTTATATTGCACATGCAGGCTCCTCCTCCTCGTTCTAAGAACGCTCTACCAGACGGAATGTCTCGTGGAATCTCTGGTAACCATGTCCGAAGCTAGGACTATACCTCGCAACGTCCGAGGAGCAAGTGGATAAATCACAGCGGACCAAACGCGAAAAAATGTGCCGGACTGAAATGGAATAACGTCGCTGTTCTCATCTGGTGTACTCGCACGTATCTCGCCATTTCCACGACAAAAGCTCGGGAAGGATGAGAAGAGATAAGGCAGAACGTGTCGCGACTGAAGAAATAACGCGACGAGATATCGCCCTGCGAAAAGCGCGACACGGAGCTCGAGAAATCGCGGAGGTTGGAGGGATCAGGTTCGAATTGGGCGAATTGAAGGTGGTCGGCTAATTTCCTTATTTCCTTTATCTCGATTTATCCTCTCGTTTCGAGAGCACCGGCCCGCTTTGAGGCCGTTCGCCATGTTGGATCGAG